AGATCTTAGTTTTGCATCCCTCTGTAGAGAGCTCTGTGTTGTCACTGATTGGACACAGCCGATCAGCAAGTCCTGGCCATGCATCATTGGCCAGGACTTGCTGACAGGCTCCCACTGTGTACAATCACAGCAAGAGGAGGCAGGCGGGTGTGCACACTCGAAATCCATAAACAGGCAGTGACGTAGCGGTACGTCGCTTTGCCTGCGCGGACCGCTTGTTATCAGCAGTACATTGCAGGCGAGCGATCCGCAAGTAGTTAAGAAGCATAATAACCACTGACTGGCAGCTTGGCTCACTTTTAAAGGAGAAATTTGTGGTCACAAAAAACAAACATACATACTCACATATATGCTGCAGCATTGCTACGCCGGCTCTAAGACCTAGAACTGAGCGATCACATGACCGCTGATCACCCAGTTCTTGGTCGTCCTGGAGTGGACAGCAGTGACTGTCAGTCGCTGCTCTCTGCTCTGCGCTTCCAGTGCTCACAGCTGGGGAGGAGGTGGGCACAGCTGGCTTTGGCTCTCAGGAGCCAGCTCTCAGTCAGGCAACTGTGTGGACCCCGATGACATGGTTCTGATCCTTCCAGAACCTGGAGCAGTTCTGTGACGTCTTAGGTCCACAAGTGCACTCCTAAAACAACATACATATGGCCAAAAAAGCTTTGGCCATATTTCTCTTTGAAGTGGCTGTGCCCACTGTTCTGTGCCATACAACATAGCTGATGGGGGAAGGCTGCACAGTCATTTATTTTGCTCCCTCTTCTAAACTGGAAGTGTCTGTTAACACTTCTCAAGGTCCTTATCACCCCAAAATGGTTTACTTGAATGTTACATGGGCAACATGATCAGGCTGTTTATGGCCACCCTTACTATCAGATCTCAATAGTAAAACTGGCCATGCACTGATGAACCATGGCCCAGCCAGCCCCACTCTGAGAAAAGTCGATCATTCCATTGACTTGTCATATGAGCATGCTGAAGAATTTTCAGCTAAACAATAGCTTCATCTAATAAGATGCAGCCACTGTTTGCATATTCTGACAGCAGGCAGCAACAGCTGGCAGAATACAATAGCTCAGAAGGGGGATTTGCCATCCGCATTGTTTTTCTTTTTTGTCAGAGTCTGCTGGAGATGTTCCCTCAAGCTCTGTTTGGTTAAACGGTTGCCACCATGGGAGCCTTAGATAGCATTAAAATTTAACACCGCTTTTTATCCTTCATCATTAAAAACTAAAAGATACAATTTTGGCTAGAATTAATCACAAAAATCAGGGAATTGGGAAACGCTGGGGAATCCACGTACAGTATCTGAAAGTGGAGGTGCCACCAGAATATCTGGAAGGGTGCTGCTATCTAATTAATATTCAAAAAGAGGAAGAAAAAAAGCTGCACATCTAAAAGGCTAACCTCAAAGGAATTTTATTATGCACCATAAACAGTTATAAGCCATCTGAGACATGACAATCCTGCATGACAGAGGCCCCCCCGATATATCAAGAGGGGACCCTCAAGGATGGACCGAGGATATAATGTCTCCAATGGCTTGTAACTGTTTGTTTTAGAATTGAATCACCAGTGAAGCCCGAATGCTTCACCGCACCTTGGGCCTCTTACATGCCAGCATTACAAGGCAGCACTGTGTGTATGACATTTCTATTAAGCTGCATGGCTCGGTTCAGAAAGGTGCAGAGATGACAGATTCTTAATGTGCATTAAAATAAAAGCTTTCTAAAAGTTTTGCCACTGTAGTCCATGTTCTCTCTACGGATAGTATATCCTGGTCTACACGTACTAACAAGCTTATTACTCCAAACAGCAACCCCCAGGTGATCCATTCATCTAGGGACGGTGATGGCGCTGCTAGGAAAATAAATGTTTCCCTATGGCCTGGAGCACAGAACCACTCCCAACTGTATAAAGCCTACATACCTTAGCCTTGACCATCCTCTGGGGTGCTGTTCCCTCCACACCTGGTGGAGCAGATGACACAGAACCTAGGCAGAGCGTGCAAGTGTCAAAACATACACCAATCCCCCATGTACATCACCAACAGCTAAATGGCCAGTGCAGTGTGTTGATGGCTTGTAATACATTAGAAGATAAACCACTTGCCTTCTGGAAGATTTTACCCCCTTCATGACCAGGCCATTTTTAGCAATTAGGCACTATGCTACTTTAACTGACAACTGCACGGTCATGCAACACTGTACCCAAATGACATTTATATCTTTTTTCAAACAAATAGTGCTTTATTTTGGTGGTATTTGATCACCACTGGGTCTTTTTTTTCTAATATACACAAAAAAACCCCGAAAAATTTTGGAAAAAAAAAAAAATATATATTTTTTAACTTTCTGCTACGAATCATATCCAATAAATTTTTTTTTTTAAATCTTTATAAATTTAGACCAAAATGTATTCTGCTACGTATTTTTGGTAAAAGAAAAAATCCCAATAAGTGCAGATTGATTGGTTTGCATGACAGTTATTACTATGATATATATATATATATATATATATATATATATATATATATATATTGGAATCTTTATTTATTTTTTATACTAGTAACAACGGTACTCAGCGAGTTATAGCGGGACTGTGATAGTATTGCAGACAATCTGACACTAAGACTTTTTGGGAACCAGTGATACTAATACAGTGATCAGTGCTAATAATACACACTGGCACTATACTAATGACACTGACTGAGCTGGGGTTAACATCTAGGGGCAAAGGGTTAACTGTGTGTCTAACAGTGCTTGGTGTGTGTACTGTATTGTGATTTTACTAAGGGATGTGCCAGTTTTTATTCCCTGCTTTGCAGTGAAACAAAAACCGGCACATCCCCGCTGACAGGACAGAACACTGTGTTTTACATTCAGAGCTCTGTCCTGTCATTCTCTTTAACGATCAGTGGGTTCAGGCTGGCATTCATTGGCCAGGACCTCCCAATTGGCTGGTGCTGTGACTAATCACAGCACAAATAGGGTGGTGGGTGCACACTCCCTACCCAGAAGAGCTGGATCATGTATAAGATAAGTGATCAAGTGCAGGAGAGCTGCTCTGCCGCCGTGCTCATACATGAGGTGGTCAGCAAGCGGTAAAGGGCCTGGGCTGACAGGCTTTGGGAAGCATTAACAGCATCTGTTTGATATGTTGCTAAGATCACTCAGAATTTACTGACAGGTGCATCTGACCTGCAGTTGACCTGCTTCAAGTGGGTTTCGTATTCCCATAGACTTATACGGAAGCGCAAAACTCGCCTGAAGCAATCAAAAAAACTCATTGGCCCTACTCAGTACAGCCAATACATAGCAACTGGACGATCTGCTTGCAGAAGTCCTTAACACAGAGTTGTAAAATATGAATCATCTGTTGAACATTTCATTGTCGGTTGCACTTATTGTACTTATCAGGACTCAGCGTTGAGGGTGAATACACTCACTCTAATGTTTAATACCAGGGACTGGAACCTGATCAGGAATAGCGCCTTAACCAACAAACTGCATGTTTATAGACCCATAGACCCCCAAAGGCCATTTTGGAGAGGGTGATGTATTTAGTGGATGCTGACATCTCTAGAAGGCATAGAGTGGAATGTAAAGTAAAAAACAGTACATAGAAAATAGTGAGACATGACATGGAGTGCGAGTTTGTGGATAAGTTCCTGGTATAGACTAGTGACTAGGTAGTGACTTCAAGTACACCTAGTAAAGCAGCGTTGGCAATACTTGGACAAAACAAAAATTATGATGGTGGTGCACAAATGAACAAAGCTTGGGACACAGTGGACCAAAATATCACAGCTTGTCCAATAGTATTTTGCGATTAATAAAATCAGAACTAAAAAAAAAAAAAAAAAAAAAAAACCTGGAGTCTATGATGACTTAAAGGTATTATGACCACAATCAGTCTTTTTAGCTCACAAGATCACGTGGAATCATAGAACATCTATGGGCAGCATTAGTATTTTAAAGGTCCGCTCAAAACTGATGGAAAAAGGGAGAAGTCCTGGAAGTCGAGAGCTCCCCATGACTAAGCTCCATGGGCAGAGTAAAACACCTTGGGGTGTGGCCTGGTTGGAGTCCGGGCTGAGGCGGTCATACATCTTCTTATGGGGTGTTGCAGAGATGTGCGACTTCCAGGACTTCTCCCTTTTCCATCAGATATCTATAGCTGGGATGAGCTCTGTCCTTGTCTGGACTCCAAGTGGTAGCTACATAAGGGGACTCTTGAGCAGCACCTGTCAAATTAGTTTGGGTCACTCAGAATTGATATTTGAGTTTTTTGTAGACCCCCTAGACTATAATAACCTGAATGCTTATATGTCTGGGAATCTCTGGTGGTAAGATCTCTATGCATGATGGCTCCCACCATCCCTAATTTTTCTATTTATGTTGTACTATTTAAAAAAGAAATTAAAAAAAATGTAGCAGGGATGGCCAAAACACACAAAAGGTGGATGGAAACAACCAAACTCCCAGGTGGACAGAACATAGTCAGGAACTATGACATGGAGAGCTCAAGCATCCAAGACATAAAAGAAGCCAGGGGCTGCCTTAACGTATCAGGCTCCAAAATATCACTTTTGGGTATGAAGACTCTCTAAATAACCCAGAAAGAGCCTTTGAAGAAATCAGTGTTGTTTTGATATAGGCTGCCATGCGCCATCAATTTCTCCCAAACACTTATCTTACTAATTCGCAGACCTCCTATTTAACTTGCTTTGTAAACAAGGCGTTTGGGTTTTTAAACTGCAGATTGTCTAGGCTGACAAATACATATAGAAAACATATAAAAGCAGAATTTCTGGAAATAAATTATACATCTAGAAAGGATCAAAGCAGACTGCTTCCTGAAGATAATCATTTGTGGTAGAACAGGTTTAGAGTGCAGAAAATCATATACTGCCCAAGTCAACATATTCATCATCCCTATTAACAAGTTCATCTTCAACCTCCCAACTTCGCCACGAGGTGGTTGATATAGAGGGTCTAAAAGAGCTTATATGAAGGTGAGCAAATGGATAAAGAGATGAGCGCCGGACAGACTTTTTTACGCCTGCCGTCTACGTCATCATTTTCCTTGGGTGTTGGAAGGTTTGTGGTCGGCCTTTCTTTCACCTTTTTCTTTAGATTTTGAATCTCATCCATTAGCTCCAACACTTTCTGCATGGCTGCCACATTTCCCCCGCCAAGAACCTGTGCTTCTGGGATCCATCTAAGGTGGCGCTGGGCCCAGATTCGGATTTCGGGTCCCTCAATATGTGGCAGGATCAAGCCATGAAAGTCTATAGGTTTCCTATGCCAGTTCTCGTAGAACACTTTGTAGTTACTTGGCACTTCATCAGAGGAGCTGATTAGTTTGCTAATTCTTTTACCTAGGAGACTTCTTATGAATGGTCCAGTCTCCTCCCTAAAGAATCCTTTTCTGTTGGAACCTTTTGACTGGGTAAGAGGCAGAGACAACTGTCTTTGATGCTGAAAATACAAAACAATGATATTAATTAAAAATACAAACTTTGCATGACAACCAACATGATGGATTTGTTAAAACCAAGTTAAAGTGCTACTAAACCCACAACAGTAAACTCAGTCTGTATATGCAGTAAAGCATGCTTGTTATACTCACTGTGGAACCTAAGGGGTTAATCCTCTGCATTGTGTAAAAAGGCCGTTTGATCCTGTCTTCTCTGATCCTCCCCTTCTACTGTCCCCCATCCATCTTCTGATAGAACAGAGCCTTGTGAGCAAGTTGCACATGCTCAATTTGGTGTGTATTGCTGGAGTTTTTTTGGGGGGGAGGGTGTATGTGATCAGCACAGGGTCAATCAGCACTGCCCAAACAGAGGGTCAGGGGCTATGCAGCCCCACAGGACAAATCAGAGGAGAATGGAAAAAAAACTCCTCCTACAAGCATTAACCAGTGCTCTGCCAGACACTGACAGAAGTCACAAGACTGCTCTAGCTGCTGATGAGAAAAGGTATTTAGCAGTTTATATTAAAAAAAAATAATTGAATTTCCATGTTGTGTGTACTCTGGGAGACCAGATCTAGTGAATGCAGGGTCCTAGGTTTAGTAACACACACGATTGTGTACACATTTTAGATTTGTGGGGAATCAAACATGATAAACATCATTTTATAGTCTTCAGCTTTACAGGGGAGAAGCATTAAGAAGAATGCACATAAAAGAAAGGATTTGTCATTTTTCATTATCATACTGTTACTTATCGATTCACTAGAATAAAGGGGAGGGGGGATAATAAACTCCCACGTTCCCCTTCAAGTGACAAAATTCAGGTAACAAACAGCATTACAAGATGGCAGGGGAAACATGCAACGGGCCCTGTATCCAGAATTACCAGATGTTTCCGTGGGGCTGCAATGCAGATCAGGAGTTGTGAACAGCAGTGCTACTACTAAATGATGGCAACTAAAAGAGGAATGTTGACTTCCCTGTAAATTCATACCTTAGAGTACAGTACAGGACACAGGCAAAGCATTCCCAGGATTATAGGTGTGTACGTTCAGATGACTAGGCATTGGGCAAGCTTCCCTCCTCCCCACCCCTTTCCATAATGTCTCCCTCAGTAAGTCTCAGTTTTGTAGCAAGCACTGCAGATTAACAAAGGAATGGAAAGGGAGGTGACTTGTGTCCTGTACTGTACTCAAAGATATGGAATTTACAAGCTTGGTGTGTGTGTACTGTGTTGTGATTTTACTAAGGGATGTGCCAGTTTTTATTCCCTGCTTTGCAGTGAAACAAAAACCGGCACATTCCTGCTGACAGGACAGAGCACTGTTTTGTTTACATTCACAGAACTCTGTCCTGTCATTCTCTTCACCGATCAGCAGGTCCCAGGTGGCTTTCATTGGCAAATTGGCTTGTGATGGGACTAATCACAGCACAGCTGGGGTGGCGGGTGCACGCCTCCTACCCAGAAGAGCTGAATAATGTATTAGATGCATAATCCAGCGCAGGAGAGCCGCTCAGCCGCCATACTCATACACGACGTGGTCAGCAAACGGTAAAGGGCCTGGGTTGACAGGCTTTGGGCTTGCATCAACGGCATCTGTTAGTGAATTCTGAGTGATCACAGGAACATCTCAGACAGGTGCATCTGACCTGCAGTTGACCTGCTTCAAGTGGGTTTTGTGTTCCCATAGACTTGTATGGAAGCACAAAACTCGCCTGAAGCGATCAAAACTCTGGCCCTACTCAGTACAGCCAATACATAGCACCTGGACAAACTGCTTGCAGAAGTCCTCAACAGAGTTGTTGTGAAATGTGAATAATTTCTGGACATTTCATTGTTGGTTGCACATAGCATGACTCAGCATTAAGGGAGAATATGCTCACTCTAATGTTTAATACCAGAGTTGTGAACAGCAGTGCTACTACTAAATTATGGCAACTAAGAGAGGAAATTTGCCTTCCCTGTAAATGCCATAGCTTGGAGTACAGTACAGGACACAGGCAAAGTATTCCCAGACCCTGGGTTATAGGTGTGTACCTTCAGGTGACTGGGCATTGGGCATTCCCCCCCCCCCTCCATAACCATGTCTCCCTCAGCGTGTCTCAGCTTTGTAGCAAGAAATGCAGATTAACCAAGGAATGGAAAGGAAGGTGGCTTGTGTCCTGTACTGGACTCCAAGATATGGAATTTACAAGCTTGGTGTGTGTACTGTGTTGTCACCATAGCTGAAGCCACCACTGTCCAAGAAAGGACAACGCCCATTGGCTATGGGATAAGCAGGTAATAAAGTGGTAGAAAAATATATAAACATATAAAGCTAGAAATGCATATGTGTATCTGAGAAAATGCTTCAAGGACTACAGTACCTATGTGTAATCACCCAGAGAAGTGTGGAGGAGAAGAAGATAAAGAACCACTGAAAGATCTGTCTTTTATAGGCTGTGAGTAGATAAGCCCAAGTGTTCCAGACAAATCTAGGGATGGAATTGCACCTTTTGGATGTAGTTACCTAGCCAAGGATCTGTTGTAGTCTAAATAGTCATATGGAGACCTGGGACTCCCTTTGTAGGCAATTCTATCTGCATCAAGAAACCTGTGCTAGTTCCTAGAGCTATCAGGAAAGTTGAATGCCAGAGGTCAGTCTAGGCATAAGAAATTGACCCATAGACTTGATCATCATGGGTAAAGACTGCATAGGAATGCTGTTATGGTCATGGACAAGACAATGTTGTAGGGCTTAGGTATGCTAATCCTCTATAGTAAGGAGGTTTTTAACCATTCCATTAGGATCCAATCCAACAAGAACTAATTCATAGAAATTGTGTTCTGTAATTCTGACCATCTCAGTAGAGCAGAGAGATGAAAAATGAGGAGGTAGACAAAAAACACTTATTCCTGGGACATCTTTCATGAAATTGTCCAGAGACAAATCAAACAGATGACCTCCATCAAAGCGTATAAGGCATCTTTTGTGCAGCTTTTACCAAGCAGGCCTTAAGCCATAAAATTCTGTGTATGTGGGATGGACATCAAGGCCATCCAAGAAATCTGTGTGAGGACAGATTGTAAAGAGTCCACGCAATGATGTAGTAAAGGGGGCAATGGCTGTAGGTGCGCTGTTAAGGCAGGATCCTGGAAAACAGGATTGTGTTACTTCAACATGCTGCAGGTCCAGATAGTAACTGCAGTCTGACAGATAGATGAGATAGTAATAGCTGGTTGCAGAGCTAAACCCGCCAGACCAAAAAAAGAAGGGCTCTTAAGAGTGCTTCAAGTTTTCTACGTACAGGATCCTTAAAAGTAGGGATATCTTTTGGTGAAAAAGTGAGATGCCTATTTAGACATAACACAGTCTGATCTATTATTGGTATCGTCCAATTCCACAGAATAGAGCTTTGTGGTGATTTCTGAGGGAGAGAAAATCTTTCCTGGATTGCACCAATCATCAAAAAATTGTCCCTTTTGTTCAATTCAGAACAGGAAAAGTGTAAGATTTAAGCCGGCCATGGGTTGCAGGAAATAATACTCTTGATTCACCTATCAACACAATCAGTGTTGATGGGGGAATCCTGCCTGCAGAGCTATGGTGTTCTCCCAGTGGGGAGGCGCAGGGGTGAGCTGTCCCTGTCAGAACTCAGGGGCAGCACAGTGGCTAAATGGTTAGCACTTCACCCGAGCACTGACAGTACTCGGGTCGTTGGTTTGAATCCCAACCACGGCACCACCTGCCTGGAGTTTGCGTGTTCTCCCTGTGCTGTGTGGGTTTCCTCCAGGTACTTCGGTTTCCTCCCACACTCCCAAGACATGCTGATAGGTTAATTGGATCCTGTCTAAATTGTCCATAGTATGTGTATGTATGAATGTGAGTTAGGGACCTTAGGTTGTACGGGGCGTACAATGGCCATGGTCCATTGCTATGCAACTCAAACCCTGAAGACCCCTTCAGGGACAGGCCCACCATGACGGGCAAAGCCTAGACTTTATTTACAGTCCATAGCCATGGACCATTGAGGGTTAGGGACTGATGTGAATGTACAATATATATGTAAAGCGCTGCGTAGATTGACAGCACTATGTAAGCACCGAAATAAATAAATAACTCCGTAATTAATGCTAGCGGCTACAGCCACTGGTGCTAATCACCTGAAAAATCCAATATGCTGGTACATCAGTTGTACAACAATGGATTTGGGTAGAATCAGCTTGCCCATAGATGGCTCAAATCTCTGCCAGTCCCAGCTGAACCGGTCAAGATTTGAACCATTTGTGGCCGGTTTTAGCAAGTATTTTTTTTACCAAAAGGGGCATGATGAGATGGAAAGGGGGTAACCATATTGGTGCTAAGGCCCTCGTGCGGAGAAAAGTAGATCTGTAGCAGCAGACTGATTGTGTGAAGCTAAAGTGGCTTGTGCAAATGGAGCCTGAGAAAGATCTTCTGAGGTCCTTACTGAAACTTTCTCCTGGTCATATTGTATCTTTGGTTGCTTGCTTACATTAGGATTGCGCACATTAGGATCCAATGCTAAGGTAAATAGGCTGATTTAGGGAAGAAGCCTAGCAGATATTTGTTCAGGGAAGAACCTGCATTTTTTAAAACCATTGGCTGTGTGAAGAATTGTTCCATGGATGCAAAACATTTCTCTTTTGTAAGATAGGTAGCTTACTTTGTATTTGAGGTAAACACCGCATCAGATGCAGGGACCAGTATTACAAGGTGTCCCTGCCCTAGCCTTAGCGAAGCCTCAATACTGTGAGGTGAAGAGTCCTGGCAAAGCGACCTTATTCTAGGATTCTGCCATTTGCTACAAGTGAGGAGATTCTGAAGGGTACTAACAAAGCAAGGTGCGGAATATAGGGCAAGTGTGTCCAGAAGACCAACATGGAACTTGGTTGCAGACTGGGTGGGAGGACTGCCTATGTGCTCTTTAAGGGTTGTAGACTGGGTTGTCAGGTTTACATTGTAATTGAATACATTTCAAAAGCAGCCGTGGTTTTTACAGAAATGATCACAATTATAGGTTGACCCTGTCTTACATGTTTACAGTGCTAGACCGTAAATAAAGTCTAGGCTTTGCCAGTCATGGTGGGCCTATCCCTGAAGTGGTCTTCAGGGTTTGGGTTGCATAGCAATGGATCATGGCCCTGTATAGTACCCTGCAGTTGACTGTCACATCGCACCATGTACCAAGAAGAGCACCCGTGCAGGATCCAGTGCCAGAAGCAACACAGAAGGCCATCCCTAGAGTGCTGAGGTCTGGGTATGGTTGTTCATGGTTTTACCAAGATTGCACAGATATGGGTGCACGGTTTCTATTGATAAATTAAAATGATCATAAAAGGTTCAAAATGGAAAAAAAAACAAAACAAAAAAACTCAAGAATGTTATCCTTACCTGCTTTGTGCAATGGTTCTGCACAGAACAGCCCTGATTTTCCTCTTCAGGTCCCTGTCTGGTGCGCCTGTACCCTTCCCCCTGCTGAGTGCCCCAGAGCAAGCTGCTTGTACTGGGGGCACTGTTGCATGCTCACTCCTAAGCTGCCTCTTTGTGTCTATGATACACAGAGCACAAGCCTTTGTCCTGCCGCCCATTCCCCCCTCATTGGTTGTGATTGACAGCAGGAAGAGCCAATAGCTTCAGCTGCTATGTCTCAGCCAATGAGGCGAGAAAGGCCTGGGAGAGCCTTGTTTTTGTGCATATCACTGGATTAGGATTGGGCTCAGGTGAGTATAAGGGGGAGCTGCAGACTGGAGGTTTTTTACCTTCATACTTAGAACCACTTTAATGGGGCAGCACAGTGGCTAAATGGTTAGCACTTCTGCCTGGCAGTACTAGGGTCGTTGGTTCGAAATCCCAGCCACGGCACCTCCTGCCTGGAGTTTGCATGTTCTCCTGTGCCTGCGTGGGTTTCCTCCGGGTACTCCGGTTTCCTCTCACACTCCAAAGACATGCTGGTAGGTTAATTGGATCCTGTCTAAATTGGCCCTTGTAAATGAATGTGAGTTAGGGTCCTTAGATTGTACACTCCTTGAGGGTTAGGGACTGATGGGAATGTACAATATATATGTAATGTGCTGCGTATATTGACAGCGCTATATAAGTACCTGAAATTAATAAAATGGAAGAATCGAAATAAGTAAAACTAAAATGAGATTTCGCCGCAAGGGAGAAGAGGTCCATCCCCTTGAGACATTTGCAAAAAAAATGGAGGACTCACAGAGTGAGGCGGAGTTATATGGGAGGCACTCCGGTGTCGATTCACCTGAAGGTATAAGCCTGTAACCCAGGATATATTAATACTTTGCCTATGTCCTGTACTGTACAATTAAGAGAAGGTTACTTGATCTACGGAAAAAAAGGTTTGCCCTAAAAATTGTTGTTGCGATATACGGTCAGATTCCCATATTCCCACTCTGGTTCTTCTAATCCCCAATGTTTGTACAGGACTCAGCAGTGATATAGGGGTCAGAGCATAGAAACACCACCTGTGGCAGGGGACACAAGCATCAGACCCTACCAGAGATGTGGAATACCAGTCTTAGGGAGGCTAAAGTGCTGGAGTGGAGAGAAGGTAACAGATCCAGCCCACAACCCACTTGGCAGGCTCTTCTATTGAAGGAACCTTTCATTTGGCTTTTAAAACCCGACAAGGGTCTCCTTAAATACACAGCTCACATGTATCCTTCAGGGGCAATAAAAGAGCAAAAATATCTAAATACTGAAGGTAAAGCAGTAATAATCTAACACTAACATTTACCCAAATATTCACCGAAACGAAGACAATATAAAAATTACCTTTGAACGAATTCCTTTTCGACTTTTGTCTTGTTTTGACTTTTCCACGTACAGCGGGTTGTTTAAGAAGGACAGAGCCTTCAATTCAAACTGCACTGACCAATTCCAGACCGTGTAGAATCTCAAAGCCTCCCTTTGTTTACCCGGCCCGTCCTCAATCTGCCAAGAAAAATCAGAACACTCTGAGATGCCAAAAAGAAGCAGGTCACAGCTTAAGCAAACTTTGCCTTAATCACTAAATTACACTCCGTTACTGCATAATAGAGCGTTTGTAAAGTGCACTATAGTAAATGATCATATCATTCTTTATCCAACAGCTTCTCAAAAAAAAAAAAAAAAGACAAAACATGGCTGGTCTAACATGTACTTCAGACTTGAAAAGAAATGTATAGTGATTTTGTGGAAATTCTCTTTATTATATCTTTTTTTTTTAGTCTGGTAAATATGAAATATTGCAAATTAATAATTTGTTTCCTCATCTAGCAAGGAACACCTTTTCACATTTCCCAAGCTCTTTTTTGAAAAAGAAAAAAAAAAAAAAAAAAAAAAAAAAACCACTTTAATGAATTTTAATGCACACAAACAATATAAAACCCAATTGTTTAGTAAAATATCAAACCTGTCATTGCGCACATCCATAGAACGGCGCCAAACTACAGTACCTCCAGTGCATCCAGAAAGAATTCACAGCACTTAACATTTGCCACATTTTGTTATGTTACAGCCTTATTCCAAAATCAATTTAATTAATTGTTTTCTTCAACATTCTACACACAAACAATACCCCATAATGACAACATGAAAGAAGTTCATTTTGAAATCTTTGCAATTTATTAAAAATAAAAAAAAAAAAAAAAAACCCCATGTACACAAGTATTCACAGCCTTTGCCATGACACTCAAAATTGAGCTCTGAGGCATCCTGTTCCTACTGATCATCCTTGAGATGTTACCACAACTTGATTGGAGTTCACCTGTGGGAAATTCAGTTGATTGGACATGGTTAGGAAAGGCATAAACCTGTCTATATAAGGTCCCACAGTTAACAGTGCATGTCAGAGCACAAACCAAGTTATGAAGTCCAAGGAATTGCCCGTAGACCTCCGAGACAGGATTGTATCCTAGACATCCTTGATGAAAACCTGTTCCACAGCGCTCTGGACCTTAGACTGGGGCACTGGTTCATCCTTCAACAGGACAACGACCCTAAGCACACAGCCCACATAACAAATGATTGGCTACAGGCCAACTTTGTGAATGTCCAAGAGTGGCCCAGCCAGAGCCCAGACTTGAACCCGATTGAACATCTCTGCAGAGATCTGAATATGGCTGTGCCCCGACGCTCCCCATCCATCCTGATGGAGCTTGAGAGGTACTGCAAAGAAGAATGGGAGAAATTGCCCAAAAATAGGTGTGCCAAGCTTGTAGCATCATACTCAAAACAACTTGAGGCTGTAATTGGTGCTAAAGGGGCTTCAACTAAGTATTGAGCAAAGGCTGGGAATACTTATATACAGGGTTTTTTTTTTTTATTTTTAATAAATTGCAAAGATTTTAAAACCAGCTTCTTTCACATTGTCATTATGGGGTATCGTTTGTAGAATGTTGAGGAAAACAAATGAATTTAATCCATCTTGGAATAAGGCTGTAACAACAAAATGTGGCAAAAGTTAAGCGCGGTGAATACTTTTTGGGTGCACTGTGAAAATCTCCATAGGTAATGCTATAAAAGCCTAAACAGGTTACAAGTTTTCAGCTACATAGGAAGTTTAGTGCCAGAATTATTGATCTTGCTGACATTTGCAGGGTTTACATGCACATGCAGGACAGTCATGTGCGTTCACATTTGCGCGTGAGTATGGGGGAAGCAGAGTGCTTAAAATGTTTTTAGATTATTTTTAAAAACTGTGCTGTCCCTTTAATTTTTTTTTTTTTTTTTTTTTAAATCAGTTTTTCTGCTATTACATCCCTTGTGATAGAATGGGCTGTGACAGATCCGCTTTATGGAGAGATTTGGGGTCTATTAGACCCCATATCTCTCCTCTGCTTGATGGTTGTTATATCGCCTGACACAGGCAAAAATGTTCCTAGCTGCATGGTGAAAATATCTGGAAATTGGTTTTATTCTGTATCAGACTTATCACCCTGAATTCATACGCCATCCCTTAGCTTCCCTCTCTGTTTCTTATATGCCAACTGATCTGGAGTGTCAGACAAAGGGTTTGTTATCAGCAGAAAAACAGATTACTTACCCACTTGTGTGTGTCTTTTTGGTGTGGTGAATTGAAAAAGAATGTACTGAAGATGGGGATATTGATGCTATCGGACAGGACAGTCAGATACGTCTCGGAGAATTCAAATGCAAGCGGGTACTGCTGCACCAGCTGCCACACACAATCCAAGAAGAGCAGGAAGACAGGAGCCTGCAGGGCAGAAAGTCATAAAGATAAAAATGGGTACGGATACTGTACAAGAAAACAAACAGTGCTCTCAGATTTATTGGCTGACACTGAAGTGGTGACGGTAAACGCCACATTACAACTGTTCAGCTGCGTCAGTGGACATGGCCCAACTGCTGGATTGCTTTGATCTTCACCCCATCAGTCATCTTCCTTTGGTCCATATAGTTCCTACTGGTTTTGTGAAATGTTTCCAGGCAGATCACACGCTTCATAAGAACGATGCCCTCTGGAATGGTTACCACTTTATTACAACAAAGGGTTACGTCCATCAAAAGCATAACTAATCCACACAAGTGATTTCTAATCAGAAGTTTACAATATCATTTTCATTCCTTCCATTAAGAAAGTGCAGAAGGTGATACAAAATGCAAACACCTCTCCAAATGATTGAATTTAAAGGGGTTCTAAAGTTTGTACTTAAACAAAACACACACAAAAAAAAAAAACCCACACGAAAAAAAAAAAAAAAAAACACACAAAAAAAAACACACGTTATACTTATCTCCTTGTGTAATGGTTTTCCATAGAGTAGCCCCGATCCTCTTCTTTTTGGTTCCCCCACAGGTGGTCCTTGCTCCTCCCCCCCCTGCCGAGTGTCTCCAACAACAGGAAGCTTCTTGCTACATGGCACTGAGCAGACTTGCTTAAGAGCTGCACTCCTGTGAATGGACATTGTCCATTCACACACAGAGCATGGCTCAGTCCCGCCCCCTGCTCTCTCCTCATTGGCCCTGGTAACAGCTAGCAAACAAAGAACACACATCCTTGTCACTTATGGTTTGATGTCACACAGTGGGAGGAACAAGATCAGTTCACTGTGTTCAGGGACGCCGATGCCATTAATGGGCTCCCCAACTGTTCAGTGAAAGCATGGACAGGTGGGATTGGTGGGGGGGACACACCCATTCCATTACCTGTAAAAGTAATCCAGTGGCTCTATAACCAATAGGATTACTTAAGTGAGGGGGATTGGTGGCTGAAAAAAATTATATCCCAAGAGATAATCACCCTTTCCATCCTGCCACGTACTGGTACGTCGCTTGACAGGAAGTGGTTAAGATACTCATCTCACAAGCATACATACATATATCTGGACCGATTTAGACAGAAGCCAATCAACTTGTCTTTGGAGTGTGGGGGAAATCAGAGTACCCTGGAGGAAACCCATGCACAGTGAGAACATACAAACCCCATGCAGACAATATCCTGGTCGGGATTTGAACCAAAGTCCCAAGTGCTGCAAGGCAGATGTGCTGACCACTAAGCTCTCAACCTTTCTTAAGCTAGCCATACATAATTCAGCAGGAACTACCTGAACTTTGCTCCATGTGTGGCCATTGCGGTTGATCTACCGACCAACTTCTGTTCAATTTCTATTTCAGTATTTTTTTCGCTCGATCAGCTCTGCAAGCACTAGGCTGCAGTGCTGATTTGTGTATGATGGGAGGGGAGTCTCCCCGCTGGCAGAATACAATGATACAGTGGGAAGGATATATATGTGGATGGGGGAATCAGGTCTCTTTTTTCATTCAACATGCTGGTTGAACTAAAAAAAAAATTAACCCATGTATGGCCAATCTTAAACTCTGCTCTGATTGGCTCTTTGCAACTCCCCTCTCAATCTGCGTTTCAGCTTTTATGTCCCAGCTGCTTACTGCCACCACCAGCAGCTGGGGAGCGTGTCTAAGCTTACGGCAAAGTCAACGTTCAGAAATTCAGTACTTGGATAAGACATTCTGCATGGTCTGGAGGTGCTGCAAAACAAGTACGCTGATCAGGCATCGAACGGTTACCCATTGTTTACTTCACCGAGAAGGTTTTTGATCTCAATACAGACAATGCAAAGCCTCCAATATAACCCAAGCCCTCAAGCATGCAAAATTTTTCTACCAGGACTTACTGCAAAGGACTCCAGGAACATCAAAGCACAACTGAGGTATTGCATTAACACCTTAAAGCAGTGGTTCTCAACCTGTGGGTCGCGACCCCTTTGGGTGTAGAACGACCCTTTCACATAGGTCCCCTAAGACCATCAGAAAACACATATTTCCGATGTGTGTAAAGAGCAGCTGCTGTGTTGAAAGCAGCTACTCTGTTGAAAGCAGCTACTCTGTTGAAAGCAGCTACTCTGTTGAAAGCAGCTACTCTGTTGAAAGCAGCTACTCTGTTGAAAGCAGCTACTCTGTTGAAAGCAGCTACTCTGTTGAAAGCAGCTACTCTGTTGAAAGCAGCTACTGTGTTGAAAGCAGCTACTCTGTTGAAAGCAGCTACTGTGTTGAAAGCAGCAGTATTGGAGGTAAAACGACACTCATGAATTATAATTACTGGGTAAATAATTTTATGGTTGGGGGTCACCACAACATGAGGAACTGTATTAAAGGGTCGCGGCATTAGGAAGGTTGAGAACCACTGCCTTAAAGGATAAATTCACCTTTAGGAATATGTTACGTGTTCCACTCATTTTAAGGATGGAAACATGTAACATGTTCCCAATACTGCAGCCGCTGCCCCTCTTCCCTCTGACAGAAGTATGGGGAGAAGTTCATTGTACTAGTTGTCACTTTTTAAACACAGCGCTCCACCCAGTGTTTTGTGAATGAATGAACTACAAGTTCTCAATGAACCACCATGGTGCTGTGGAGCGCCGTGGTAATTCACTGAATCTTCCTGTCAGTATATCTGCTTGTTTGTACATCCCGTACGGCAAGCAGATATACTGACAGGTCTGCAGGAGACCTGCATGGCACCATCGATCTGCTGATGTCTGGTGAAATGCTTTAAAGGCTCCTGTAACCAAAAATAATAAATGCACATTTTTTTCATCTGAAAAAAATGAGCATTTATTATTTTTGGTCAAAAGGTGAACTTATTCTTTCATTTCTTCCTCTTTTTTGAGAACAGGACCATTAGCCACTTTATTGGGGTCAGGAAATTTATTGTCACTCTAAAGTGAATGGAGAAAGCTTTTCCTTTCATGTGGTTGATCACCTAAAGCAGATAAGGACCCATTCGTATCCACAAATCCCTCCAGGGGTTGGGGGCCAATGAGGGGAGTGTAGAGATGACTGTGTCCATGAGTCTTAAGGAGTTAATCTACGTACCTCATTCTCATTGCTCCGAAGGTGATTACATCTGTCCAGAAATTGGTGTCCTCCCATTACCCACTCCTTCTGGATGAGGCTCTGGAAGCCGGCTCGGGTACGATAATATGAATCCATCATGATCTGCACCAGACTGGCAATCACACAGCAGAAATCTGAGGCTGTGTCCTCTGCAGGGACATGAAGGACAAGAAAAGTCATAGGCAAGCCATTAAGAATTCAGAATGTCAAACTTTTCTGGCAATTGACTTAGGTACAGTTCATATAGTTTACTTTAACATTCCGCCCACAATCATACAAACATACTTAAAAGTCAATTTAAAGCCGTAGTAAAGTCTTGTTCCTAGTTTTAAAAAAAAAAAAATGCCCCCCCCCCCCGCAGGCTTAAGTCATAGTGTACTAGTATACACTGCATTATGTACATTATGACAGACTTCAATCAGAGTCCTCCAGCACTGCACTGTCACGGCTCTCCCTGGTCCCCGGCGGCTTCCATCTCCACCCGTAGTCACATTCCATGGCACCCAGAGTTTTATGGCTGAGGGCTCAAGTACTGAGGTGCTGTAAAGTTTTCAGAGTGCAGCACCCTGCTGACCCCTCCCAACAACCATGATCTATCAGCATTGCACAGGGAAGCACAGAGGCCCAGTGATGACATCACATGGTCTAAAATAGGTTAATAAATGAAAACAGAAAAGGTTTTAGATACAAATGTCATTAACATGTTGATAGGAGGGGATAGGAGGAACCAGGGAAGGCAAATATAAGGTGACTAAACTTCACCTTTAACAAAAATAACTCCACTTTTCTTGAGAAAAAAAAAAAACAAACAAAAAAAAAAACAAACATTCTCCTCTGGGTGCAGGAATTTTAACAAACTTTGTGGCAGATTATTACCTTTTGTTATGCTGAGGAAATAGTGGTTTGTCTGTGTCCGTGTGTAAAGTGGATAAGATTTTATAATGATCAATCAGCTTCTGCATTTGCAGGGTTCGAATGGGGAAAGTGGCAGGGTCTGCATTCCTTTAGACGTGATTTCCCTTTGGGAGTAACTCACCAAATTACATTTTTTTTGCAGGGGATGCCCAAAATCTGATTTGTATCTTAGTGCAGACTTCTGGGAAAATCAGCAAGCTAATCACACAAACAGGAGATTACATACCTGGGGGGTGTTCTGTGTGCAAAACACCTCCAGGTTGCCATATTGCATTTTACAGAAAATTACAGCACTGCATAGTGAAAAGGAAAGGTAATTTTTAAGAACATGCAATTACAACAGGGTTTGTGTAGCAATTGCACATGCTATATTTTTTTAATTAATATTTTTCTCCACGAAAGTGCAGTTACCACTCAAGCCCTGTGCAGTAGACTTATAAAATACATTTCTTTCCTCTTAAAAAAAAAAAAAAAAAAAAATCCTGTTAAAAAACTTTATAAATGAGTTCCTCACTTAAAAAACAAGGAAAGAAAGTTAAACACATGACAGCATTCTACATATTTACCTTTAAGAACAACATTGATTTTTTGAGTTTCTAAATAGTCGATGACTTCAATGGCTTTCTTAAGACACTGCCTGTAATAGCAAAAAGCAAAATGTGTCAAAAGAAAGCAGAATGAATAAAACCAGGAATTATTTGTCTGTATTGTGCATCTATTCTGCTATTCATTACAATTGCGACAGTGGCAGTCTCACTGGTATATCAGAAACAACTTCCATTCCTCCCAATATAGGATATAAAGCTTGTTAGAATAATGTAGAATACAAATCGACATACAGTGCACTGAAAAGTATTCATACCCCTTGCAATTTTCCACATTTTGTCATGTTACAATCAAAAACATAACCACAACTCTACCAAGACATGGCCTTCCACCTAAACTGACAGGCTGGGCAAGGATAGCATTAATCAGAGAAGCAGCCAAGAGGACCATGATCACTCTGGATGAGCTGCAGAGATCCACAGCTCAGGTGGGAGAATCTGTCCACAGGACAACTATTAGCTGTGCACTCCACAAATCTGGCCTTTATGGAAGAGTGGCAAGAAGAAAGCCATAAGAAGTCCCATTTGCAGTTTGTGAGAAGCCATGTGGGGGACACAGCAAACATGTGGATGAAGGTGCTCTGGTCAGATGAGACCAAAATTTAACTTTTTGGCCTAAAAAGCAAAACACTAAGTGTGGCGGAAAAGTAACACTAAAACACACCATCCCCACTGTGAAACATGGCGGTGGCAGCATCATGTTGTGGGGATGCTTTTCTTCAGCAGGGACAGGGAAGCTGGTCAGAGTTGATGGGAAGATTGATGGAGCCAAATACAGGGCAATCTGAGAAGAAAAGAATTAAGAGGCTGCAAAAGACTTGAGACTGGGGTGGAGGTTCACCTTCCAGCAGGACAACGACCCTAAACATCCAGCCAGAGCTACAATGGAATGATTTATATCAAAGCATATTCATGTTCTAGAATGGCCCAGTCATAGTCCAGACCTAAATCCAATTGAGAATCTATGGCAAGACTTGAAAATTGCTGCTCACAGACAATCTCCATCCAATCTGACAGAGCTTGAGCTATTCTGCAAAGAGGAATGGGCAGAAATGTCCCTCTCTAGATGTGCAAAGCTGGTAGAGACATCCCCAAAAAGACTTTCAGCTGGAATTACAGCGAAAGGGGGTCCTACAAAGTATTGCCTCCGGGGGGCTGAATACAAGTGCCGCCACACTTTTCACATATTTATTTGTAAACCAATCATCATTTTCCTTCCACTTCACAATTATGTGCCACTTTGTGTTGGTCTATCACATAAAATCAGAAATAAAATACATTTATGTTTTTGATTGTAACATGACAAAATGTGGAACATTTCAAGGGGTATGAATACTTTTTCAAGGCATTGTATGGCAAGGCTGTACTAACAGTATTAATGCTAGAAAAGCGTGGCGTAGATTATATGAATGGACGTTAATCTGGGGTATTTATTCTGGAAGATAGATAACTAGATACACACATATATTATATTATATATATATATATATATATATATATTACTTACACACACAAAGTAAAATTAGTCATAGGAGATTAAAATAATGTCGCTGCCTAAACTGCTTTTCATAATCAAGCATTCACGGTTTCCTTTTGTACTCTTTAGTACAATGATTATTTCATTTCATCCATATAGGTCACATGGAGCTTGTATTGTTCTTCCTAAGGCAGTCAAATCTGAGAAAACCACACTATGTTTGCTATGTATTTGCATTCACACAGCGTGCTTTTTTTTCCCCCATATTTCTTACCTCAATGTGAAAGAGTCCTAATTTGTGATTTGCTGTCCTCCAGCAATGTGAGGTTCACACTTACATTTTTCCTACAGATGCCAGGAGTAGGGCGGGTCTGTACACTGCACTCCAGTCTATATACGATTATCCTCCTGCCACTCACGCAACGCATATATGAGGCAGCAAAAGGGATGGTCTTTAGCACCCACATATGATCATGTCTATGCGTGGCACAGGTTTCTGTGCGGAGAATATGCTCACTGCACACTCCCAGCACAGCGACTGGGCTGTCAAAGATAGTTCTTGACCTGTACTAATGATTGGGAATCAGCGGGATCGGCACTCGGTCATGTGACCGCTGTGACAGCAAATCACAGTGCTCACATGATTAGGTGGAGGGATGCTGGGCAAATATTACCTGCTAAAATGTTTGTATATCTGTTCTGCCCAAAAAAAAAAAAAAAAAAAAAGTCTCTTCTACCAAAATTCTCTACCAGGTAGCAAATGTCTGTCTTGTGACTTTTTAGATCAGCTTTAAGACCCCATGAGTCTTTTCTGGTAGTTTATAGTAGTAGATATGTTACTCCTACACACCTGACTATTTCCAGCCAATTGGAGGTGTTCAGCAATGAAAACCACTTGGAGTCTGTGTCCCAGAAGTCAGTGGAGTTCTCTACAAAGGTAAAATAAGGAAAGATTAGAAGGGTTTCCTACATGCATACCAAAAATGACAAAGTATGAAATGTAATGGTATGTGGTTTATTATTCATTATAGCCCTGATAGCTTGTAATTCGAAATAAATTGTGAGAAGCATTTTAAAGAGGTAATTTGCTCTTTAAAGCTGGCCATACACTGCTCAAATGTCAGGGGATTTGGTCGAAATTCAAACCATTGGTGGTCCCGCCAACCCCACCCGACAAACTTCAACTGAGAAATTGAAGGAGCTGGGCATAAAAATGTCAACAGTGATTGTAGCTGCAGTCACTGTTTAGGTATTCAGACAGCCATGGGTGTCAACTGTCAGAATACATAGCTGACAGTGAGAGATTCATTGATCCACGCTGTTTAGCAAGGATGGCAGAATCGATGGATTTATCTTTATGTGTATGATCAACTTTAGGATTTATATAGGTGAAATCTGTCACCTTAAAAGTGATAATAAAGTCAATAAAAAAAATAAACATGTTATCCTTACCTGCTCTGTGCAGTGGTTTTGCACAGAGCACCCCTGATCCTCCTCTTCTCAGGTCTCCTGCCGATGCTCCAGGCCCCTCCTTCCTGCCGAGTGCCCCCAGAGCAAGCAGCTTGCTATGGGGGCACCCAAGCAGGCTCACTGCCAAGTTGCTGCTCTGCATGTCCATTCACACACAGAGCGCAGCTCAGCCACTCCTCCTTCTCCACTCACTGCCTGTGATTGACCTCAGTAGGAGTCAATGGTCCATGAAGAGGGAGAGTTCCTGGAGAGCTGAAGCTCTTGTGCGCATCACTGGATCGCGATGGGACTCAGGTAAGTAGCGGTGGGGGCTGCTGCACACGGAAGGTTTTTTTACCTTCGTGCATAGAATGTATGAAGGTATAAAACCTTGAGCCTTTACAACCAGTTTAGGCTGGCCAAACATCAATCAACCTTCACTGGAAACGCCACCAACCCAGTGGGTTGAACAAAAGAATATGACCCAATTCCCCCCATCTGGACACATTTGATGTGGGGATGGGGGGGGGAATCACTCCTGCTGTGCTATTGTGTTCTGACAGCAGGTAGCCTTCCCTGATGTCAGAACATACTGATCAGTATTGCCGGCAGCACCAATTGTTTGGGGGGGGGGGGGGGGGGGAGACAGGCTGTTTGTACAGAAGTCGATCGATAAATCGACTTCTGTACAATCAGCCTGCCCATACAGAAATCGAAATTTGGCCAGTCCCTTCTGAACCAGCCAAATTTCAATCCATGTATCGCCACCTTTAAAGCTGACCCTCAGGCAGAGAAATAAAGCAGTTGGAGAGGTCGGGGTCAGGGATGGTTTGTTTTAAATCTCGCTTACTATTTGTTAAGATTCTGTAAATCATCTAAGGCTCATGGTTTGGGCACAGGTACACTTTAAAGCTGAACTCCGGGACAAACTACCCTTCCAGTAAGGCCCCTCCTGCAAGGGTTTAAGTGTGTATGGATACGTTAGAAGTAATACTTACCTTATCCTGACTCCTGGGCTTTTCTCAAGCTGCATGGGCTCCCTAACCATCATCATGTGCAGTGAAGGGCTAATGACACTGCATATTGTATGTAAGAAGAGGAGCATGCACCCACGGCCTGAAGCTGCTTAGAGAGGACGCTGCGAGGGACCGGCTGAATGGATTGGGAACCTGCTGGAGTCAGGTAAGTATTACACCTTATCCCTGCACTCTTGAACAATGGACCATTTAACACTTGCTGTGTAAAGGTAGTTTTTCTGATTCTCAGAGTTCAGCTTTAAAGTGCATGCTTATTTCCTGAGTGTTGAGTGGAGAAGGATTAGAACGCCGTAAGGTTTTTACAGCTTTTCAGGGCTCTGTTGGAGAGATGTCTCACTTACTGTCATAACCGTGGTTTTGACAGACCAGATGCAAGGGAAAATCTGCAACAGGGACACACAGGGAGTTTTTTTTTTTTTTTTTTTTAAAGAAGGATAGAGCCCCTATCAGCTGTGCTGTCACAGTCATGCTGGAAAAGAAAAGGGCCTTTTGTAAATTGTTGCAACTAGCTTGAAACAGCACAGTTGTTTAAAGTGTAGGATTTTTTTTTTTTTTTTTTTTTTTAATTACAGCTATCTAGGTGGATGCAGCATTGATCTGATATTGTACTGCATCTGTTCCCTGCTGGCTCTAAGGGTGAGAACTGAGCGATCAGACACCACTGATCGCCCAGCTCCCTTCCTCTGTTCTGAGCAGACAGCCAGGACTGTCAGTGTCTGGCTCTCTGCTCTGCCTCTCCAATGCTCACTGGAGCACTGTGGAGAGGGTAGGGTGACTGGCTTAGGGTCTCAGCGGATCGCTGAGAGGCTGAGCCAGGTGCCGGTCCAGGGATTTGAGTGGATCCTGACTTTAAATTCGGGGACGTTCCCCAGCCTGGACTGGCCGAGTGATGTCTAAAGTCTGCTGTCAGCTGAAAATGGGCCACAAGAGTGCAGAATGAACTGCATTCCTGTGATCCACATGTGGAGTACAGCCAACTGAGCTTTGACTATACGTCTTTAAAGATGAATTCCAGTTGTGAAATATTTGTACATCGTTACATTGGTCCAGCTTGGACCGATGAGACTTTGTACATACTGTACCTGGTGGATGCCTGTGAAAGCCAGAAATCAGTGAAGTAGAAACTGGTACTTCATGATCTCCACTTGCTTCCAGGTCCCGTGCTGAGTAGCTGCCCTGCTACATTCTGAACACAGGAGGGTGGACGCCATTCACAGAATGCTTTGCATTTTCGGAATGAATGCATAGTCTTCTCTGATTGGACGAGGTGAAGATCATTACATCACCACCCCGCATCACAACCTTGTCTAATAAGCCTCTCAGCACAGGACTGCGAAGCAAGTGGAGATCTCTGGAGTAGCGGCGTTTATGTAACCAATTTCCAGCTTCCAGGAACATCACCCAAGTATGGTATATACATAGTTACATTGGTCAAGCTTGACCAATGTAACTATGTATAGAACTATGTATATACCTATACTTCCTCCTTAAAATGTCTTTATATTCTGTAGCATAAACAGTGACTTTCACTGGAAAACATCTGAACTCAATAGTATAGTGGGATGTTTACATACTTTTGGCCACATAGGTAGTTGCTATGGTCAGGTGTTCACAAACTGTTGGTCATATGGTGTAAGTTCTTATAAACATGATTGTTATAGACTAGTACCAATATAGAAAGTCAAATCTATCATACTGGTTGTGGCAGGTGAGCCAAGCCGGGAACTCAGGAGAAGATAGCTCATCGCTGTCCATAACCAATATAAAAACATCAGTTTTGGATGGACATGCACAGAAGAAAAAAAACGTAACTAATGTAGGCACCATGTATTAAAAATGACACATCACTGAATTACCGCTTTCATTCTTACCGATCAGGAAGAGCTGTTTAAAGCGCGTGTAGGCCGCCTGGACATCTGATAGCGAGGGAAGACTTATTGAGAGGTCCTCAATTCTCACTTCTTCATAGGGAGGTCTGTGAAGTGTCTGCTCTACACTGTTGAACACAGATTCAAGGAAGATCATTAGCAGAAAAAGCTAAATGGGGAGAAAAGAATCATTCCCAGGCTTCAGGATTCATTTCAAAAGTTAACTCTAAACTCTGACTTTCTAAACTCCACTTTCTAGTTTGGATATTAGAAGTAATAATTTGGAGAGAAGGTATCTGTGTTTTGCCTTTTCTAGGTTAGAAAAAAAAAAAAAAAAATTTCTGTGAGGGTGTGTTTTTAAGCAGGGGTGGGAACACCTGCTCAAGGAGGAGGAACCAGAAGCACCAGAGGGGACCTGAAAAGAAGAGGATCTGGGCTGCCCCGTGCAAAACCACTGCACAGAGCAAGCAATATAGACTTGTTTTTTAAAAATAAAGCTTTAGTGTCACTTTAACCGCCTCCTGCCTACCATATAAGATAATGACGGGCGCAAGGCGGTTCTCTCGTTCTGGGAGGACGTCATTTGACTTCCTCCCATTCTAAGAGCACAGCGGATCACTGATCAACAGAAAGAGCCAAAGATTTCGGCTCGGTCATGTGGTCAGCTGTGTCCAATCACAGCTGATCACATGTAAATAGGGAAATGCCGGTTATTGCCATTTCTCTCCTCTCAAGCTGTCACGCTGACAACTCGTAAGGAGAGGAGAACCTGTAATCGTCATTCCTCGGAGGGGACATGTACACTGATCATCAGAGCACTGATGATCAGTGTGCCCTGATGATCAGTGTAGCCCCAGCAGTGCCACCTGTCAGTGTCCATGAATGCCAGCTATCAGAGCTAGTCAGTGCCCATCAGTGCCACATATCAGTGCCTACCAGTGCACATCAGTGCCTACCAGTGCACATCAGTGCCTACCAGTGCACATCAATACAACATATCAGTGCCCATCTGAGCTGCCAGTCAGTGCCACCTATCAGTGCTATCAGTGCCACCTATCAGTGCTGCCTTTCAGTACCAATCAGTGATGCCTGTCAATGCCCGTCAGTGCCACCTACCAGTGACTCATCAGTGCCACCTATCAATGCCCATCACTGCATCTTCATTAGCGCAGATCAGTGAAGGAGAAAAATCACTTAATTTACAAAATTAAAAAAAAAAAAAAAAAAAAAAAAATTTCCAGTTGTTTTTGGTTTGTTTAGCAAAAAATAAAAAACCCAGAGGTGATTACATACCACCAAAATAAAGCTCTGTCTCAAAGAAAATGCTAAAAACGTGTATGGCCTACGGACAACCCTTGTGAGCATGTGGCAAGCACTGCCGCATATGTATACTGGCCTGGCTGGGTCTGGGTTGGGTATTACTGAGTCAAAGACCTACAGCAAGCATGCAGCAATCTAGTAAGAACTCCCGCTCTCTATACTTTTCCGGATTTAGTATGTGAAAGCATTGAAGCCAAAAGTGTCAGCATGAGAATTGAGAAGTAGTATTTTCATAAGGAAGTGAACAGTTGCAGTTGACATATTTCTCCCAGGACAAGTTTCCCTCACACACACATTGCAGCTAAAAAACAAAAAAAAACAAAAAACAAACAAACCTGTTTTACAAGCATTTGACTTTTTTTCTGCCTCTAAGCACAGCTACGTTAGCCTATGTCAGGGGTCTCCAAACTGCGGCCCTCTGCCAGCCTTTATCCGACCCTTGGGGCACTATTCTTCCTACCGACACCAACGATGGGGCACCATTGCTCCCACCGATACCAACGATGGGGCACCATTCCTTCCTGGGGCACCATTCCTCCCACCGATACCAACGATGGGGCACCATTTCCTCCCACCGATACCAACGATGGGGCACCATTCCTCCCACCGATACCAACGATGGGGCACCATTCCTCCCACCGATACCAACGATGGGGCACCATTCCTCCCACCGATACCAACGATGGGGCACCATTCCTCCCACCGACACCAAACGATGGGGCACCATTCCTCCCCACTGACACCAAACGATGGGGCACCATTCCTCCCACTGACACCAAACGATGGGGCACCATTCCTCCCACTGACACCAAACGATGGGGCACCATTCCTCCCACTGACACCAAACGATGGGGCACCATTCCTCCCACTGACACCAAACGATGGGGCACCATTCCTCCCACTGACACCAAACGATGGGGCACCATTCCTCCCACTGACACCAACGATGGGACACTATTCCTCCCACCGATACCATCGATGGGGCACATTCCTCCCCTCCGATGGGGCACCATTCCTCTGATGATGCCAATGATGGAGCACTATTCCTCCCACCGATACCAACGATGGGGCACTATTCCTCCCTCTGATGCCAATGATGGGGCACCATTCCTCCCACTGATACCAACGATGGGGCACTACGCGTCCTCCTACTGACCACCAACCGAGGCCATATTTATTTTCACCGATGCTGGTACTAGGACTTATTTACCCCCACTGGCCATAACCCGGCCCTCAAAGTCTGAAGGACAGTAGACTGGCCCTTTGAAAAATTTGGAGACCCCTGGCCTATCTGTTCATGCACACATTGGCATTTACCGGCCTTTAGAGGAAGAAGCGTTTAGGGACAGAAATCTGATCGCGTTCAGGATAGGAGAGTTTGGGCACATAAAACACCGGACGCGCCTGAATGCTATGTGCATTTAGCACTTAAGTGTTCATTCATTTTAACATCCAGAATAAACTAATATTCTTGCCAACTGAATAAATGAACAGCCAAATGCTTGACATACAAACGCATTTAGATGTGTTTGAAAAATTTAGCTTTATGCATATTTTAATGCTGCTTTTCTCCTACCAGGAGAAAGGTGTTCAGAAGAGCTGGGAAAACTTCCAGTGTGCAAGAGGCCTTAATCTCACACTGATGAGCAGTTGAACCTTTTCAGCAGTCATAAAGCACAAAAGCAAGGCATTTTGGCAGATGAGACCATGCCCAGGGGTCAAAAAATCTAAATGGTGAACAGATGCACTGGAAAACGTATTAAAGTTGAAGTTTAAACTACTTATATTATGCCTTCCCTGGCTCATCTCTACCCCTTAATCAACTTGCCCATTTATTTATTTAATAAAACCTATTCATTCCATACTGTATTTTAAGCCCTACTGCTGTCAACACAGGATCTCTGTGCTTCTCTATACAATACAGGCAGATCATAGGTAGTAGAAAGGGCTATACATAGCTTCCTCAAAACAGCAGACCACCAACGTCCACTTGTGATGCTTAGCCTCTGATTGAAAGAGCTGAAATCCAATGAATGAATGGAGCGGGATAGGAACAGTAAATCTAGGTTCACAGGGTCAGGGACTTTAAATGCAAAACACTGCATTTTTGGTTGTATAGACTTCAATGGCGATGCTGCAGAAAAGCATGTAGTGCATTTTTGATGCAATTTGCGTTTTATCCTGCCTAGCAACAAGTTGGAAAAAAAAAAAACAAAAAAACAAAGCGAAACGCAGCAAAAACGCAAGATGCACTGTAAATGGATCACACGCAAAGTGCATAGGGAGGAAAGAGTTTGATAATGCTGGATGTCCTCCAGCCGGGAAATAAAGCAGGTTGCATCTGACTTGCTGCGGCTTTTAATGCTGTCTGAGAGAAGCCCACAATACGCAGTGAAATCAGAGTAATTTCTGTACAAGAGAGGAACCTGTACAACTGTACAAGACTGAAGGGAAGGCTGGAGTTCAGCTTTAAAAATAGTGATAACAAAATCAAGAAATAAACTGACGGCCCAGCACAGGATACATACCTGTTGAGGAAAGCTCTCTGTTCCTGGATGGCGCTGTCATCCACCTCTTTGGGGAGGGAACCCATCTTACAGAGAGCTGTGCCATGCTGACTAGACCAGCACCAAATCTAAAGCCAAAGGAGAAGGAGAAAGTCAGGTTACGTAAAATCCACTTTCATGAAAAATAAAACAAACATATAGACCTTCAGTATGTAAGAGACCATGCGCCCCCCCCCCCCTATGCTGCAAAGTCAACACAGGCACAGAATCTGAATGAGGGGTACTTGCAGAAAAACTGCCTGCTGCAGCGTATGAAAGGTGAACAACCTACATGATCCCCCACGGCACTTACCTCTGTGGATGATGAGTTGTCCATGCCAACACCGCCGATGCAGTGGTCCGGGGATTTCAAAGCTCTTTTTTTTCCCCCCCAGCTTGCCTTTGGGCTTCTAGGATTGATCAGAGTGATTCTCACTGACATGTGACAACTGTGACCAATCAGAATCACTCGGATCCATCCTGGAAGCCAAAGGCAAGATGGGGAAGAAGAGCAGGGCTTTCAAATCCCTGAACCACTGCACCAGCTATGTGGACACTGACAGCTCATCTCAAATGGAGGTAAGTGCAATGTGGACACGGGAATGGGTAGGGGTGTAAGGTGTTTGTTCAACTTTTCATTTTCTGTGAAAAGGGCAACTTAGACTTTAGCAATAGGGTTGTCAGCCTGATATCTTTGCTTAAATTGACAGATCCAGGGGTGTTGGCTGCAGAGCTTTCAGGGCCGCCAGCAACCACTGCCTACATCATCTGTGTGTTTCACTCTCATGTAAACGACTCTTACAAGATTTTAATTCACACTGTGGTGTAGCAGGTGGTGACAGGGTCTCTTTCAGCAAGTCATTTTGAAATTCAATGCGATTAATGTTATTTTGTTTAAAGAGGTTGTAAAGTTTAGGAAAATATGAGATCCATGGTTGCCCTCTATAGAGTCCACATATATGTTTCACTAATGGGCCCTCCCACTAGATAGCATACAATGTATTCCCATTAGGTCCAGAGAAACTGGTGTTTTCAATTAAGCAATTTGCGGTCTATGTTACCGGGACCTTGGCAGTTCCTTAGATGAGAATCTGTCTTGGTATCTGTATTAATATACTGCCTGGAGTATGATCAGACATATAGTGATCATCATTTATGGCACAAGACAAAGGTTTATTTTGTACTCTCCCTCTATACACACACACACACACACACACACACACACATATACATAAAAAATATACACATACACAGCGTGCAGAATAAGTACTGAACACCATTTTTCTAGGTAAACATATTTCTAAAAGGTGCTATTGACATGGTCACCACATATCGGTAACATTTTATTACACATAACTTAATTCCTGAATTTGTTTTGGTTTCTTTGTATGTATGGATTGTATGTATGGATTGCATGGGCTGTTATCCAAAATTTCATGTCAATAGCACCTTTAGAAACATATTTACTGAGAAAATGGTGACGTGTTCAATACTTATTTTACCCGCTGTATGCATATCACAAAGCAGAAAGTTTTGAAGAAAGACATTTTTCACTGCATATTTTGGGAGTTTTATGTATTGTGTATTTGTTTATATTAACATAATGTGTTAATATAAACAAATACATTTACCTCCCATTTCTCTGCAAGTATTTTTGTAAAGAAATATTTATTTCAGGTACTTGTATAGCACCGTCAATTTACACAGCAATAGATCTCTCTCTCTCATATATATATATATATATATATATATATATATATATATATTTTTATATTACACTCACATCAGTCTCTAACCCTCAAGGGGTGTACAATCTAAGGTCCCTAATGCACATTCATACATACACATACTAGGGACAATTTAGACAGGATCCAAGTAACCTACCAGCATGTCTTTGGAGTGTGGGAGGAAACCAGAGTACCCAGAGAAAACCCATGCAGGCACAGGGAGAACATGCAAACTCCATGCAGGTGGTGCCGTGGTTGGGATTCGAACCAACGACCCTAGTACTCAAATATGTATTATTAAGCACTGAGTGTACAAGAGAGTTGGGAATTTATTGCACTTCATCCATGTATATCATTGGTCTTAACGGATAAGCTCACGTTTTAGACAAAAATAATAAATGCACATTTTTTTGCAGGTAAAAAAAATGTGTATTTATTATTTTTGTCTGCAGGAGCCTGGAAAGCATTGCACCAATGATCAGTAGATCGATGATGCCATGTAGGTCTCCTGCAGACCTGTCAGAATATCCGCTTGCCATATGGTATGTACAGCCAAGCAGATATACTGACAGGAAGCTTCAATGAACTACCACGGTGCTCCACAGCGCCGTGGTAATTCATTGAAAACTACAAGCCCACAGAGCCAGGGCTGTCGGGCTAAGGTCCCTAGCTCACATTCATACATACACATATTAGGGCCACTTTAGACAGGATCCAATTAACCTACCAGCATGTCTTTGGAGGTTGGGAGGAAACCGGAGCACCCGGAGGAAACCCACGCAAGCACAGGGAGAACATGCAAACTCCATGCAGGAGGCGCCATGGTCTGGAATCGAACCCATGACCCATTTACTGCAAGGCAGACGTGCTAATCAATAGAAAACTGTAGAGAACTGCCAACAGTTGGCTGCATATTGTACATAAGAGTGCCAACAGAAATTCAGTGGAGCAGGGCGCAGAGGTTTATATACTAAAGACAAATAGACTGTGCACTTTGCAAGTGTTGTTGCTCCAGAGCTTAGTGAATGTAGCAAAGCTCTGCTGACTTCCATCCTCCAATCATACGTAAGCAAAAGTGCTGTTTTTCATGCATGTGCTTCAGTATTCTTTGTAAAGTGAAGCTTCACTTCATTGACTAAGCTCTTGAGCAACTGTACTTGCAAAGTCCATAGTCTATTTGCTTTTAGTAAATCAACCCCTAAATGTCTGTCCCTGAGGCGAACTGCATAGAGTGCTGGTATCGCGGTGTTGGATGTCTACAAGAAAGAAAGGTGGAATTTAAATGCCCAGCTGACACACAAATGCATTCACAGCCCAGGAGGTTGTGTGTTGAGAGAACACTCACAATCTAGTTCATAACGCTTGCAACACAAAATGTGAAAATGGAGAGACATTCGTACATTGGTCACAGACAAAAAAAAAAAAAAAAAAAAAACACAGGAAATTGCAGGTACTCAAAAATGTTCCAACACAAAAGCTAGCTATGAACTGTGAATGTTTTATGAACATTATGGTGCAACATTTGGAAATAGAGCGCAACTGTGTTCATATATTACCACCACTATGTTCTAAGTTAGCCATTGTCTTATAGAAGAGTTTACTAGTGAGTAATTGTACATAAAAGTGGCAATCACCCCAATCTATAACTGGCCTCTGCAGTACATGGAAGGGCAATGCACATCACAAACAAAGATTTCCCAGCACACTTACCAGCCAGCCTGTAAACAAAAACAAATTGATCCTGCCTAACAATTCACATTAAAAACAACAGAACAAGTTCACACAATATATATGGGGGAGGAGCATGAGCATGGTGCCATTGAGGTGCGTGTAACAGGAGCTCATGGGACACGCTGATCCGGAGATGGAAAAATACATGAGTTAAAAGGGGATCCTTCACCCTACCCCTCGTCTGGTCTGGACCCTCTGAGGTGAGAGCAAGTCAGTGGGGAGCCCTGAGCTGGTCCTGGTAGGAGGAGAAGACCACGATCGGTGGAGCGGAGGTGGGTGTCAGAGAGAGCCGGAATAGTGGACCCCGGGAGAGGTCAGGTGACCTGCCGCAGAGGACAGCTGGGAGTCCTGGGAGACACCGACTGAGGAGAGGAGCCTTCTTGGAGCAGACTGGTGCCGAAAGGTCCCACAGAGGGTGACTATATTGGACCACCCGAGAAAGAGCCCGAGAGCGAAGCGGTGCCCACACACACTGAACGCAAGTTGGTGGCGGAGCAGAAAGATTGGGAAGTCTGAGCAGAGGAAATGTGTGAGAGCCCGCAGGAAGTGGTGAGCCCTAAACAGCATATATAAGCGGATTACCACAGGGAGGCGGAGGAATAAATGTCTTGGGTGGTCAGTAGTAAATCATTTCTGAAAAGTAAAAGTGAATGAGGGTTCAACTAGTGGGACCAGAAGAGATAAATAGAAGGAAAAGCAAAAGAAAGTTGAGAGAGAGGATATGCAAGGGATACACAATTGAGAGCCTAAAATTACTATTATACCTGAGATAAGAAGAATAGAGTACCTGCAGTGGAATATAGATGTAGATTTATTTCGCAGATACTATACGCGGTGCGGACACTTAATAAAAAGACCCTAAAAAAGATCCTAAAAAAGAAAGAAATATAACATCAACATGAAGAGCAGATCTGTAAAAGGGGGTGGGTCGAAAACACCTCAAATAAGTTTAAGTACAATAAAGAAATATATGCCCCCACAAGAGAAGAGCTCAGAGGGTCAAACCCCCGAGAAACGACAGGGAGAAAGAGGAAGATGGGAGACAGTATTGGAGATCAAAGGATCACTGGGAATGACCAATTTGAGTCAAGAAAATGAAGTCTCAAATGTGCAAAATGAACTGGACTTCGGAAAATCAGAAGAACAGGGAATAAGTTCAAAAATGCCTACAAAAAAGGAAATAGCGGAAATATTCGTGAAACTAGAGCACTCTATAAAGAATGATATGGCGGTACTAGATAAGGATCTGGGACAGGTACTATCAAGAGTGGAAGCTACGGAGGAGAGATTGGAGAAACATTCTCAAATAATAATCAAATTGGAAGGGCAAATGGAAGAATTACAAAAAGAGCAAAGGAAATTAATTTAGAAGTTGAAGGATCAAAGAGAATAGAGAGAAGGAACACCTGAGGGTTTGGGGATTGCCAGAAGTATCTCAAGGAGAAGACTTAATGGATATAATGAAGAGAGTGTTTAATCCAATACTTGATAGATCTGTAACTGATCAACTGAAAATCAACAGAGTGCATAGAATTGGTCGCCCCCAAGGAGTGACAAGGGAATTCCATTACTATGAAGACAAAGCAAATATATGGAAGAAAATAAGAGGGATCTCAGTAATAAAATATGGAGAAACAAGTCTACAAATATAACTCCTGAAACATTGGCTAGATAGCTCTGAGGAAGAAGGCATGACCTTCGAAACGCATCAGCTATACTGAGTGTCTACCCCCATGATGGGATTCACGCTGGCCTCTTGTCTCTGAAGTCCCTTGGAGGACTTGCATGCCTGTTTTTATTCGCTGTTTGTGAGTACCATTCTTTTACTAATACATTTTTGTTACTGAGTAATGCGCAAGGTTGGTGGGCTTCTTGTTTTTTTCACTTCGCAATATATTACAATTATACCAAACGAGGGGAAAGATCGATCCCAATGTGCCAGTTATAGACCTATATCATTATTGAATACTGATACGAAACTATATGCAAAAGTCTTAGCAACCAGGATGAAAGATCTAATGCCGGAGTGGATCCACTTAGATCAAGTGGGATTTATCCCAGGAAGGGAAGGGATAATGATTTAAGATCATTGCTACTTCTGCAAAAAAGCAAGAGAAGACTCCTGTATCGATTTATGCTGAAAAAGCTTTTGAAAGGGTAGACTGGGGTTTTATGATGGACACAATGGAGGTATTGGGAATAGGACCAAAAATGAGCCAATGGATAAAAAAAAAAAAAAAAAAAAAAAAAAAAAGTTATACAGCCATCCCTCAGCAGCTGTGAAAGTAAATGATTCATTGTCACAGTTTTTTAAAATGCATAATGGAACAACAAGGCAGGGATGCCTGCTTTCCCCTTTGCCATTTGTTCTGCTCTAGAGCCATTATTGGCGACTGTACGGAAAAGTGTAGATATAAAAGGAATTCAGATAGGAGATGTGGAATATAAAGTCACGACATATGCTGACAACATGTTGTTCTACATGAAAAAATTAAAACATTATGGAGAATTATCGAACTTAAAAATTAATCTTTCAAAGTCAGATTCTAAATATTAAATGTTCCGCTGATAAAGAGGGCCTTACAGAAAGACTTTCCTTTCACATGGAGGCAAAAAGAAATAAATTATCTAGGAATAAAATTAATTCTGTCCCTTAAGAATTTATACCAGGTAAACTACATGCCATTAATGAATGAGATAAAAGATGACTTGAGGAGACTATCAATAGGACCACTTTCCTGGACGAAAAAATTTGGTAAAGATGGCGATAGTGCCAAAAATTCTATATAAAATTTCAAATGCTCCCAATACATTTGCCAGGGACATATTTTGGGATTATATAAAAAAAAAAAAAAAAAAAAAAAAATGATACTTAGATATATTACATAGTTAGTCTGGCTGAAAAAAAAGTCAAAAGTTTATCCAGTTCAACCATATTGAAAAAAAAAAAAAAAAAAAAAAAAAGTTATAATCCTACCCTCACAGTTGATCCAGAGGAAGGCAAAATATCCAGCAAAGCATGATCCAATTTGCTCCTGCAGGGGGAAAAATTCCTTCCTGATCCCCCGAGAGGCAATCGGATATTCCCTGGATCAACTGTACCTATAAATGTAAGTATCCAGTTATAGTCTGTATCTAGGAAATAATCCAGGCCTTTTTTAAAGCAATCCACTGAGCTGGCCAGAACCAACTCATGAGGGAGTTTATTCCACATTTTCACAGCTCTTACTTTAAAGAAACCTTTCCGTGTTTGGAGATTACATTTCATTTCCTCCAGACGTAGAGTGCCCCCTTGTCCTCTGTGATGACCTCAGGGTGAATAACTCTACACCGAGTTCACTATATGAACCACTGATGTATTTATACATGGAGATCATATCCCCCCTTATGTATTATACATGGAGATCATATCCCCCCTTATGTATTATACATGGAGATCATATCCCCCCTTATGTATTATACATGGAGATCATATCCCCCCTTATGTATTATACATGGAGATCATATCCCCCCTTATGTATTATACATGGAGATCATATCCCCCCTTATGTATTATACATGGAGATCATATCCCCCCTTATGTATTATACATGGTGATCATATCCCCCCTTATGTATTATACATGGTGATCATATCCCCCCTTATGTATTATACATGGTGATCATATCCCCCTTATGTATTTATACATGGAGATCATATCCCCCTCATGTATTTATACATGGAGATCATATCCCCCCTCATGTATTTATACATGGAGATCATATCCCCCCTTATGTATTTATACATGGAGATCATATCCCCCCTTATGTATTATACATGGCGATCATATCCCCCCCCTTATGTATTATACATGGAGATCATATACATGAGATCCCCCCCTTATGTATTATACATGGAGATCATATCCCCCCTTATGTATTATACATGGAGATCATATCCCCCCTTATGTATTTATACATGGCGATCATATCCCCCCTTATGTATTATACATGGCGATCATATCCCCCCCCCTTATGTATTATACATGGCGATCATATCCCCCCCCCTTATGTATTATACATGGAGATCATATCCCCCCCCTTATGTATTTATACATGGAGATCATATCCCCCCTCATGTATTATACATGGAGATCATATCCCCCCTTATGTATTACACATGGAGATCATATCCCCCCTTATGTATTATACATGGAGATCATATCCCCCCTTATGTATTATACATGGAGATCATATCCCCCCTTATGTATTACACATGGAGATCATATCCCCCCTTATGTATTATACATGGAGATCATATCCCCCTCTTATGTATTTATACATGGAGATCATATCCCCCTTATGTATTTATACATGGAGATCATATCCCCCCTTATCTCCTATTATCAAGAGAGAATAAATTCCCCCCTTATGTTTCCTCATGGAGATCATATCCCCCCTTATGTATTATACATGGTTGCTCTTCTCTGTACTTTCTCCAGTTCCCCCTTTGTTTTATACATGGAGATCATATCCCCCCTTATGTATTATACATGGAGATCATATCCCCCCTTAGTAAAATCTCCTCTTCTCAAGAGACGATAAAATTCAATTCCTCTAATCTTTCCTCATAAGAGAGCTCACTCCATGCCTCTTATCAGTTTGGTTTCTTCTCTGTACTTTCTACAGTTCCACAATGGAAAAGTTTTTTGTGAATTGGCGTCCAAAATTGAACTGCACATATATATGGGTAAATAAAAAGCCAAAAGTAAAATATGAAGTTCTGCGTAACGATGGAAAAGTAAATGGGGGCCTAAATGTGTCAGATGTTAAGAGATATCACTCTGTATTAATATCACGTATAGTTGACTAGAAATACAATACACAAGGGAAAAGTTTTTTGAAAGTGGATGGAAAAGACAGTAATGCACAGTTAAAAGATATCATGAAAAAAGGGGAAACATGTTCTTTTCAAGATTTAAAAAATAAAAAGGATTTGTTTTTCACATTAGATGAGTGGCGATACTTTCAACTAAGACATTTTGTTACAGCGCTTCCAAAGCCATTAAGATCAGTGGAAGACCTGAATCCATTTAAACAAATGCTTAGTTCAGATATGATAAAAAAACATGGTACCTCCCGTATTTACTGTATTTTTCACTCCATAAGACGCACTTTTTTCCCCCCAAAAAGGGGGGGGAAATGTCAGTGCGTCTTATGGAGCGAATATAAAGCGGCCGGTCCGGTATTTTTGCGGCCACCATGTCAGAATACCGGGCCGGCCGCTCAACTGTTGTCTCCTGCAGGGCCTTACCTGTTCCTCGCTCCAGCGCTGCACAGTGTTCCCGGGCCGGCTTCTGTGACAGCCGGGTGCCCACTGCGCATGTGCTGCGCTTTGTGAATGATCCGGTGTCTTCTGGGACACATGAAAGGTCCCAGAAGGCGCCGGGCCATTCACAAAGTGCAGCGCTTCTCGCACATGCGCAGTGGGCACCCGGCTGTCACAGAAGCCGGCCCGGGAAGAAGAGGGAAGGACAACTCCGCGGAAGTGGGAGCGGGTACCTGTCAAAGTCAGGTACCCGCTCCCCCTCCCTCCCCAAAGGTCAGCAGTCTCTGGTCATTCCCTGCACTGTCTGCAGTCTCTGGTCATCTCCTGTACTGTCTGCAGTCTCTGGTCATTCCCTGCACTGTCCGCAGTCTCTGGCATTCCCTGCACTGTCCGCAGTCTCTGGTCATCCCCTGCACTGTGTCCGCAGTCTCTGGTCATCCCTGCACTGTGTCCGCAGTCTCTGGTCATCGCCTGCACTGTGTCCGCCCCTGGTCATCTCCTGCACTGTGTCCGCAGACTCTGGTCATCCCCTGCACTGTGTCCGCAGTCTCTGGTCATCCCCTGCACTGTGTCCGCAGTCTCCCATCTCCTGCACTGTGTCCGCAGTCTCTGGTCATCTCCTGTACTGTGTCCGCAGTCTCTGGTCATCTCCTGTACTGTGTCCGCAGTCTCTGGTCATCTCCTGTACTGTGTCCGCAGTCTCTGGTCATCTCCTGTACTGTGTCCGCAGTCTCTGGTCATCTCCTGTACTGTGTCCGCAGTCTCTGGTCATCCCCTGTACTGTGTCCGCAGTCTCTGGTCATCTCTGTCCTGTGTCCGCAGTCTCTGGTCTGTGTCCGCAGTCCTGTATCTCCTGTACTGTCCGCAGTCTCTGGTCATCTCCTGTACTGTGTCCGTAGTCTCTGGTCATCCCCAGTACTGTGTCTGCAGTCCATTGGTTCAGAATTTTTTTTTTCTTGTTTTTCACCTCTAAAACCTAGGTGCGTCTTATGGTCAGGTGCGTCTTATGGAGCGAAAAATACGGTATATGATCCTTACTGCAATATCAGGACCCGCATCTCCACCGTGTTTGGAGAAGTGGGAAAAAGAGCTGGGAAACACAACTGAACGAACAGCAAAAAAAAAAAAAATTAAAATTAGCACATGGTGCCGTAGAAATGATTACAATAGAAATGAACTATAAATGTTTGGTGAGATGGTAGGTCACTCCCAATGTGGCACATACGCAACAAGTAGAGAAATCACAATTATATTGGAGAGGGTGTGGGATAAAAGGGAACAATGGCACATATATGGTGGGATTGCCCCAGAATACATGAGTTCTGGCAGGAAATAATTGAGATAATATATGAGATCTCGGGAATGAGTATTTTGAAAGACCCTTGGGTATGTTTATTCCATTGTACCGAGTTAACAGTGAAATAATATAGGAATTCGATGGCATTTCATCTAATAAATGCAGTAAAAAGATTGATCCCTAGATTTTGGCAGAAACAGGAGATACCAAAAATAAAAGACTGGTTGTATAGGGTTGAGCATATAAATAGGATGGAGGAACTATACCATTAGGAGAGGAAAAACTGGAAAAAATGTAAAACAATATGGGAAAGGTGGAGGGAGTTTAAAATCTCCAAAAGATATACAAAACTGGTAGGAGTCTAAATGAAGAGAAGAGGGATGGAGTAAAAGGAAGGCAAGGGTATAGAGGAGGAAAGAAGGGGGAGATGGACGATAAAGGAAGTAATGAAGGAGCAAGAAGAAAAAGGGGAAAGGTGACTAGGAGAGGAGTCAGGGAGGTACATTTCTGGGGGAGGGGGGAAGGGAATGGGGGGTGGGGAATTTGGAAAAAATATGCTTTGGAAAAGGTATTTGTATTGTATTGATTTAGACGGTTTGTGATTTTGCAATTCAAAAAACTAAAAAAAAAAAACAAAAAAAAAAAAAAACCACAAAACAAAACCACTGTTTTTATTGGAATTGTTAGACAGGGCCAATTTGGGTTTTTTTGCAAACTGGCTGGTAAATCTTTGTTTACTAGTGGCCACTTACTTGCCCAACTGAATCTGGAAGAAAAAAAAAAAAAAAAAAAAAAGACTTGGCCATCTATAAATAAATACTTACAGGTATTCCCCTTCCTTGAAATTTAGAAACACTCTCCTCCTGCAGAGATATGGGCACCACAAAGTAAGGGGGTAACCTGCAGGAACAGAAGGTAGAAGTGTCACATCAGCACGGCATGCGGTACGTACAGTGGAGCTCAGTTCCTACATGACAGATCTCGTACCTCTTCGACACGCTGTATGCCTCATTGACAGACAGCGCCTTGTAACCCAGGTTTCCTTTAGTGCGGTCCAGTTCTAGCCTCCAGTCCTTCAGTGTGTCAAACATCATGGTGTCATCCTTTGTGGTTGCCGCTAATACAAAACAGAAAAATGTTCATAAAGAAAATACTACAACTGCTACTTCAGAAGTAATACTCCCACTAACAGCAACGGCTAACGGCTCCATGTGTGAATGGATACACAGCACAACGGGTGCCCCCATAGCAAGCTGCTTGCTGTGGGGGCACCCGACAGGAGGGGCCAGGAGCGCCAGCAGGTGACCCGAGAAGGAGGATCTGGGCTGCTCTGTGTAAAACCATTACACACAGCAGGTAAGCATAGACATGTTTGTTATTTTACAAAAAACAAACCTTTAGAATCACTTTAATGCTAGTAGTACTCATAATCCTGATACATCATGAATACAACAATGATACTGATGCTAATAATCCTTTACACTCAACACGATCAGTGCATTATTAAAGATGACAAAGTATTACTGCATATAATAAGAGCCGGATCACTCCTTTTTGTATCATGCCTTTTGACACCAGCAACTTGGCCCTTTGAAATTAGGAGGCACAGCTTTTATTGGATGACATTTTCAAAGCCATGGGATTTCACTGCTAGGATAGCCAGGCATCTACCACTATGATAATATAGTATTGTGATTAACTAGGAGTGCAGAGAGAGAGCACACAGGACCCAAAGTTTATTGTATAGGGTCTGGCAAATAAAAAGGCAGAAGGGATGAATATAAAAACGTATGGGTCAAATTCTTACAATTCACAGAACAGGAATCCAGAGGCGTCACCAATTCCACCAAGGCTTACATTTGTATCAGTGTAGCACCACAAGTCCCAGTGATCCCAGGGTCCAGATAACAGCACACAAACAATATATTCACACTATGGCTTTTTGAATCGCGGGCAGAATAGATTTCAAAACGCTCTGCTAAAATGACAAATCGCAGAACTGTGTGTTCAGGTGCCATTCATTTTAATCCTTTCGCTGCCGGGTCCGTACGCTGTATGGATCCGATAGCAGGGTTTTTTTTTTACCTACACACAATCCAATGGCTGCAGGGATATGTCCGCTCTAATCCCCTTCTTGCTGTGACCCAGAAAGTGACGTATAGGACATCACTTCTGGGTCGCCGCTGTTACGTTCACTATTCTAGCCAGGGAGAGATGTATTGCAATGTGATCTTCATTGAAATAGATCCAGTTGAGCCCAGAAGCAGCATGCAGGGTCTTTTGGACCCTGCATGTGTCAAAGAGAACCTGTCACCTAAAAATCATCACATAGGGGACTTTTTGTGAAAAATAAAAAAAAAAAAATATTTTACATTAAAAGCACATAACCTTCCCCTCCCCCCCAAAAAGAAATGTGAGGCCCTTCCCACATATATGCATGTATGAACCAAAATGCATGCGTTGGGGGCGTCTGTGTGTGAAAACGTCGATTGCGATAAACATGTTACATATCGCCGCGCACGCGGGAGAGCAACAATTTTAGCACACGACCTCCTCCGTAACGCTAAAGTGATGACCTGTAGAGGCTGTTGAAGCATAACCTATATTAGGTACTGAAGTTTGTCACCATTTCACAGGTGCAGGCAAATTTAAGGTTTGACATGTTGGGTATTTACTTAGCACAACCTCGTCTTTTATATTTTACCAAATACTTGGGTAATTTATTGCATTTTTTTGCCCTAAAATTTACTTTATAGTGTATTTTGTACTGAAATTTATTGCATTTTTTTGCCCTAAAATTTACTTTATAGTGAATTTTGTACTGAAATTTTGCATTTCGTAGACCTTTGCGGCAATATCCTGTGACATAAAACATTAGAACTACCACTATGTTATTCTCTAGGTTGTCTACTTTCAGAAAAAATATAATGTTTGTTTTGTGTAATCTCCAGGCCCAAAATGATTTTTTATACGTGTTCAAAAAAATGCACACACAGTTCTGGCAGAGAAAGGGCTAATGGCACCTGAAAACCCAGTGTGGTTCTGCTTTGATAAATTGCACTGCAATCGCGGCAAACTGCATCGCGCAAAGTGCGTCACCGAAAAGAGGTTTCTGAACTTCTTTTGGACGAGATGCTTCACGTGATGCTGTTTGTCATGAATGCAGTGCAATTTATAGTGCGACAGAACCGCACCGTGTTTTCAGGGGCCATTAAAATGATTGCACCAAAACACGCAGTCCTGCGATTTGTCTTTTCAGCAGAGCGTTTTGAAATCGTGGGCAGAATCGCCATAGTGCGAATGGGCCTTAAAGCGGAGCTCCAGCCTCCACTGAAAAAAATAAATCAAAAACTGTAGCTGCTGAGTTTTAAAAAACAGCCACTCACCTGTATGAGTGTGGGCTGTGAAGCTACAAGCTGTCACAGCTGGGTGCCCACTGCGCATGCGCAAACCACATTGTGCATTGTGAATGGTCCCGTAGTCTTCTGTCCCAGAAAACTGCAGGGAGGAAAGAGAACTTCCACTTCCTACTGCCTAGGCGAAATCGGAAACCCGCTCCCCCCACTACCCAATGCTGCCAATTTCTAATGGGAAGTGGGGTACCAGTCCTTTAAGCGGAACTTCCCCTTTTGCGTGGAGCTCAGCTTTAAGTCCCTGCAACATTAAAGATCATTTTTTCATTGCCTCTTAGTAAAACCCTGTATTCTTCATGCTGATCACTGCCGCAAACAGAAGAGGTAGCTTGTTCTGCATGGGAGCCATTCAGAGAAAACCTTGCATTTTCTTAATGAATGCATGTTCTCCGACTGGACAAGGTGGAGAGATGGGGCGGTGACATCACAGATTTTCTGAATGGCACTCATGCCAACTGAGGGACCTCCTGTGTTCACTAAGCAGCAGGGCAGCTGCTTGGCATGGTACCCAGAAGCCAGCAGCAATCACTGCACTAGTGGTGCCTACTACAGTGATTTCCACAGGAATTGGCCAGGTATGAGACCATATAGTACATACTTACATTAACACTGGAGCAATGTAACTATGCAAAAATATTCATACCTAAAAAAAAAAAAAAAAAAAAAAAAAAAAAAAAAAAAAAAACTCAGTTTAAAAAGTATAGCCAAAGCTTTTTTTGGCTTTAGTTCTCCTATGGATCATAGGAGTGCAGTTTGTTCCGCACTCCAGTGACCCATTTTCAGCCGACAGCAGGCTGAAGCGCGCCGATGGCTGGCGTCACAGAGCCCATTCCTGCCCTCACCACAGCCCAGCACTCCAGTGAGTGATGCAGGAGCAGAGAGCTGGTGACTGAAAGTCCCGGCTCTCTGCTCAGAGTGGAGGGGAGAACTGAGCAATCACGGCGTTTGATTGCTCAGTTCTCTGTCCAGAGCCGGTGGAGGGACAGATGCAGCATTGGATCAATTCTGTATCCACCATAGCAAATATAATGTTTGTTTTTCTTCTAAAGCCCATAGTTCTTTTAATCTAAGCAGTATTACATTTAGCTGTCACACTGCCTGTATTTTTCTCTTTCCAGAAGCATAAAAATGCTCAGCATATGACCCACTAGGGGGGGGTCTTGGAATGCCTGGAATGCCTGGTCCCATGCAGCACTGTGGTTGCATCTGCTGGCTGCTGCTTCACCAAGGTTCACAGAAATTAAGTGGCAGCTGAAAAGTGGAACCACAGCATAAAGCAGGTGGACAAGACATAGGACAGATTACAGCCATGGGTCAAAAATAATTGGCATTGTTCCTTGGATCTTGACATCCTAAAGAGCAGAAGGCGAGATAGGTATAGGCCCTCTTCTTTTACATGAATACCCCCTTCCACACAGTGTGCTTTAAATTTGAAATAAAACTCTGGATTTGTGATGAAAGGGACAATATGCAAGTAGATAATGCGGTTCTATACATATCCTATGCATAGATTCAGCAACTCACAACAGAGAGCATACATTTGAGGGGTTGTATCTTCCGGAACACCCCAAGAAGGGGCACTTACCTATGTAACACGGGGCAGCTTGAGTGTACGAAAATAAGAAAAGGCGTTTCAGAAGCTTTGGACTTAGTGTGTGATGAATGATTCCACTGACGATCTAAGAAAGAAACCCATAAGAAGTACATTACATGCTAGAATATTTGTACATATGCCAAGACATCACATACGTGTGGACATAAAACAACAATCCATAAATCAAAGACCAACTTCCACCAAAACAAAATTTCTCACTGAGCAGTGCAGAGCTTGAGGTCATTCTGTCTGTCCAGGATCACGGCTGGATGATTTTTTTCCCCCTAGATCTGTCACAGCTGTACCCTTCAACTGATCTATTGTCCCAAACTAAAAGGTTACAGGTTGCTTGCGCGTCTAGCAGTGGCGTTTTAGCAGAAGAAACGCTAAATGCATTTAAATGCGTGTTAACACTAGGCATGTTTCGAGCTTGAGAATTAATTTCAATGGCTAGAATAATTATTTCAGCCAATGAAATGTATGAAACACCCAAGCACTTTATGCACCTAAACATGTTATACACATTAACAAGCATCAAGCGTTTTTTCTTCCAAAAAGCCACTGCCAGGAGGAAAGGCATCTAGGAGTGATGGCCAAAGTGTCCATGAGTCCTTAATCTGTAAGGAATACTTCCATATCCCTCACCCCCCACAAAGTTTCTTTGGTTCTGGGTCTAGGTTGGCTGAACCCTTAACTGATGTCACCGTGTACAATGCAGAACCCTAATTCCAGGACAGGAGTGGATCTGTGAAGAGTGCCAGCTCTTGGAGAATGAACCTCCCTAGCGGTATGATTATTTCAGATTTTTGGTGCTGAAATCGGTACCATTATTTTGCATGGAAATATGTCGTTTTTTTATTGTAGGCTGTAATATTTAGGAATAACTCACTGAAATCTGTCCGAACAAGAGTCTATTAAACATCCCGGGTAGGATAAAATTTGAAACACAAAATCATAAATTATAATTTAATAAATAATCATAAAAAATAATATAATAATAATACATTTAATTCAATAATATAATCAAACCAAAAACACTGAAATTTGAAATATAGCGCCAGGTTCGCACATCACTGAGCAAAGTCGCAAAATTGTTTTCAGTGTCTGATGACAAATTTCCCCCAGGAATCATCACTCAATTCTGCAAGTGGTTATGATTTACTATCGCTGTTCTCTAGCGGATCTAAACCCGCTTTTGACCTAAAGGGACGCTTTTGGACGCCATGGACTTTTCTAAGTTTCCAGGCAGAAAGAACAGTCAAAATGCAGACGGGACAGGACAAAGCACTCGGGACAAAATGTATGTGAAATGGTTTGATACAGTAATGTTTTACTATGTAAAATTCGTTTTGAAAAAAATTACATTTTTTTTTAAATTTTCAAATTCCCCACCGCCGGTGGCGCCCGTACATCCCGACGTCACAGGGACCGGAACACAGAAGCCGGATGCTGGCATCAGCCGGAGGAGATGGCTGGGGACGCTGCAGGGGACACATCGCGGGAGCGAAGGACAAGGTAAGCTCTGCAGGGACTCCCTATGCAGCGCCGCATGGTAAGCCCGAGTGTAGCTCGGGGTTACCGCTTTTGGTACAGAAACGTTACCCCGAGCTACACTCGGGAATACCGTTAGGGAGGTTAAGGAATAAGACACTTTTACACGGGGAGGGCACACACAACTTATTTTAAATGCTCTTTAGAGTTCAGTACGCCCAACATTGCCATTGCACACCGCGGACAAAGCCAAGCGCATGAACTGAAACATGAACAGTAGGTCCTATATCTTGGACCCAATAAGTGAGCTGAAAACACAGTGTAATTAACCACTTAGAAAAACCCCAATCCCTACTGCGGGATTTAAATCAAACGCCAATTGTATCTTCTGTGAATTCTAAATGCGGGATATGAGTGCAAAATAAAAATATTAATAAAGTGCTAATAAGTGTATCCCGAATGTGAGATATAAACAATTAAGTGACCTAGTGCTCAAACAATGTAAAACACAAGAATGGAACACAATGAATCAATATGCGCAAAATAATCAATATACACCCTGTTCCAAATTATGCAAAATCTATTTAAGTGTCACAAAGATTAAATCTTTTGTTTTTCAGTTTAACTCATGGATGGCATTGTGTGTCAGGGCTCTTTTTATCACTGAAAACAATCTCGGACACCTGTGATAAGAATGGCAGGTGAGCCCAATTTTAAGGAAAAACTACTAAAGGAGGGTGTTCCACATTATTAAGCAGAGCACCATTTTCAAGCAATATGGGGAAGAAAAAGGATCTCTCTGCTGCCGAAAAGAGTGAAATAGTTCAATGCCTTGGACGAGGTATGAAAACATTAGATATTTCACGAAAACATAAGCGTGATCATCGCACTATTAAGGGATTTGTGGCTGATTCAGAGCACAGACGGGTTCGTGCAGATAAAGGCACATTGAGGAAGATTTCTGCCAGATCCATGGCATCGGATCAAGAGAGCAGCTGCTAAAATACCATTACATAGCAGCAAACAGATATTTGAAGCTGCTGGTGCCTCTGGAGTCCCACAGACATCAAGGTGTAGAGTCCTCCAGAGTCTTGCAACTGTGCATAAACCTTCTATTCGGCCACCACTAACCAATGCTCACAAGCAGAAATGGCTGCATTGGGCAGAAAAATACATGAAGACTAATTTTCAAACAGTCCTGTTCACTGATGAGTGCCGTGCAACCCTGGATGGTCCAGATGAATGGAGTAGTGGATGGTTGGTGGACGGCCACCCTGTTCCAACAAGGCTGCGATGTCAGCAAGGCGGTGGTGGAGTGATCATGGGGAATCATGGGAACAGAGTTAGTCGGCCCCTTTAGGGTCCCCGAAGGTGTAAAGATGACCTCTGCAAAGTATGTGGAGTTTACGACTGACCACTTTCTTCCCTGGTACAGATGGAAGAACTATGCTTTCCGTAATACAATCATCTTCATGCATGACAATGCACCATTTCATGCTGCAAAGAATACCTCTGCATCAATGGCTGCTATGGGGATAAAAAAGAGAGAAAGTCATGGTGTGGCCTCCATCCTCCCCTGACCTCAATCCTATTGACCTTTGGAGCATCCTCAAGCAAAAGATCTATGAGGGTGGGAGGAAGTTTACATCCAAACAGCAGCTCTGGAGCTATTCTGACATCTTGCAAACAAATTCAAGCAGAAAACTGTCCAAAAACTCACACGTTCAATGGATGCAAGACTTGTGAAGCTGTTATCAAATAAGGGGTCCTATGTTAAATGTAACGTGACCTGTTCAAATGTTTAAAAAGTTAAAATGTTGTTAAAAGTTTGATTCAAATAGCATTTGATTTCAGTGAACATGCTGCAAACACAACAAATGACAATTTTCAGTTCTTTACAACCTGTAAAGTGTTTTGAAACTTACTGTGCGTAATAATTTGGAACAGTGCATTGGAAGTTTTTTATGTTTAAAAAAAATCCTGTTATCATTAGGAGGTTTGTTCAATAAAATTTGAATTGTACTCTTAATAGCTGATAACATGAGAATTATGCTGACTGTTCTTTACATAAATTATTTAGGTAAATGAGAAAAATATCATTTGCATAATAATTTGGAACAGGGTGTAAAAGTTCAATAAATGTGCAAAAAAAGCAATCAAGGCTCTTCACTGCTCCAGGGCATGCAGCTTAGTGCAGTGTGTGTGCACACTATTCCGATATGGTATCCTTCACTGGCTGCAACGGCCTCTCACCTCAAACCGGCAGCGCCAAAGAACCAATGCGCTTTTTGGATCAATCTGGATCCTGAGTATAACTCTTTATTGCCCGATCTCCTGGGTCTTTAGCCACACTGGACCCCACACAGCAACACAGGTCTCACTTCCTCTGGATAGGTAGGTATATTTCCTCTCAAATGCTAACTTACATGTAGCTCGTGAAAATAGAAAAGACATTCTCAATAGTGCAAAACCGCTTTTTTAATTGAATAAAAGTAGCCAAAATCCCAAAGGAACACTCACATTTTAGTTGTACATTAACAAGCCTTCACACCACATGTAATGGGTGTATCTGCATGAAAAAAGAGTGCACCACGTTGTTGACGTATATCCGGCGGAACGCCATCTTGGTACACCTTTTTTCATGCAGATACACCCATTACATTTGGTGTGAATGCTTGTTAATGTACAACTAAAATGTGAGTGTTCCTTTGGGATTTTGGCTACTTTTATGCAATTAAAAAAGCGGTTTTGCACTATGGAGAATCTATTTTCTATTTTCATGAGCTACATGCAAGTTGGCATTTGAGAGGAAATACAGGTGAAACTCGAAAAAATTAGAATATCATGCAAAAGTTCATTTATTTCTGTAATGCAACTTAAAAAGGTGAAACTAATATATGAGATAGACTCATTACATGCAAAGCAAGATAGTTCAAGCCGTGATTTGTCATAATTGTGATGATTATGGCTTGCAGCTCATGAAAACCCCAAATCCACAATCTCAGAAAATTAGAATATTGTGAAAAGGTGCAATAGTCTAGGCTCAAAGTGTCCCACTCTAATCAGCTAATTAAGCCATAACACCTGCAAAGGGTTCCTGAGCCTTTAAATGGTCTCTCAGTCTGGTTCAGTAGGAGTGTATGGATGTAGTAAGGTGGAGGAGTCTGGCAGCAGCATTCATGATAGACTGAAGAGGGAATAGCCTGTGATGAGGTCGGCCAATGAGGAGGGAGTTACAATAGTCAAGGCGAGATACAACAATGGAGTGAATAAGTTGCTTTGTGGTTTCAGAGGTTAGTAACGGGCGTATCTTGGAGATGTTGCGGAGGTGAAGTCTACAAGATTTGGACAGTGAATGGATTTGGGACTGAAAGGACAGATGGGAGTCTAGGATTACACCTAGCACCCTGGTATGAGGGGAGGGAATGATGATTGTGTTATTGATCTTGATGAAGAAGTCAGGGGAGGGGGCACGGGCTGGGGGGAATACCAAGAGCTCAGTTTTGGAAAGATTGAGTTTGAAGAAGTGGAGTGACATCCATGCCGATATGTCACTTAGTAGGTTAGTAATGCGAGAGGAGACTGAAGAGGTGA